CTCGTAATTCTGTAAATCAGACTGAATCACACAAATATTCTTCTGTCTAGAGTTTACTTCCTGTACATGTGTTGTTCAATGTTTATATGATGAAACATAATTTTAGGTACAGCACATGTTAATTGATCATTCAAGTTAAAAAAAAAATGTTTGTAGTGGTAACATTTCAAGAAATGAAAAAAGGAACAATTTTGGATCTGCAGTTTCTCCCTGTCTTCTTTCAGCTACATTTACAAGCACATGACCAAACAAAAAAATTAGTACACAGTTACTAGTATTTATAAAAAACTGAAAATAGTTAACATTTAACATCCCCTTAAAAAAAAAAACACTCATTCTACAAACAACCTTATAAAAGACAAAAACTTATATCTGTTCACAGTATGTGTGTTTTGTAAACAGTAATTCACTGTAATGCAATTTTGAAAGTAAAAAATGGTAATTTCCTAGTGTTATAAAGACCTTGGCTTATGGCCAGCTCATGAAAGAAAAGAAAAAGTAAAAACATTCCTATAAATTGAGATTTTAAAATGATTTATTTTACCTTTTGAGCATACCTTTAAGATAGTGCTATCTCAAATCTAGGATGTCTATTTCTCTACCCAGGCCAATCTTTTTCAGGCAATTCTGAGTTGAAACATATTTAAGAAGCCATGCTCCTCTTTGAGAAAATAACAGGATAAAACAAAAGCCAGGGAATCAATCACAGAATACCTACACCTTCACAAAAATGGAGGGTTTTTTTGTTTTGTTTGCTTTTTTGTTTTTGGTTTTTTTGTGAGTTGTCTTTGACTATTCACAATTAAATTAACATTTTTCCTAAATATCATGTTGGGTGAAAAAAATTAAATAGTAGAGCCAGGCTCGGTGGCTCAGCCTGTAATCCCGCGCCTCTGGGAGGCTGAGGTGAGTGGATTGCCTGAGCCCGTGGGTTCGAGACCCGCCTGGCAACTTGGCGAGACTTCATCTCTACAATAAATAAAAAATTAGCCAGGCGTGGTAGCGTACATGTAGTTCCAGCTACTTGGAAGGCTGAGGTGGAAGGATCCCAGAGCCCAGCAGATCGATGCTGGGGTGGCCGTAAGTGTGCCACTGCACTCCAGCCTGGGCGACAGAGTGAGACTCTGACTCAAAAAAAAAAAAAAAAAAATTAAATAGTAGAAACTAATATCTTATGATAGATTAGAAAAAAACAGGAAAGTATTTAGAATTAAACTGGGAGAAGAAAGTTGAAAAAAATTTATGAAAATCATTATTCAGTGTTCTTTTCTATGATCAGTTCCAAAAATACGAATATTAATGCTAAACCTAACAGTTAACCTTTCCCATGTTTTAATGAAAATTGTATTACCACCTGGAAATATCTTAATATTTTATAATACACCACTGGAATGCTTATGAAAACAGTAAGTTCAGAAGATGAAAGTTACCCATTGAAAATGGAATAGTGCTAAAGGGAGGTACATATTAAATGTATAAAGAAATTCAGTAATTTAAGTAAGCTACTCAATCAGGCGTGCAAAACATTTTAGGCTTAAGTGCAACAAATAAGGTCTATGTTGTTAGTTTTTTTTTAAACTCTTATTGACTATTGTAAAGGCAATCTTAGAAGACATATGTAAATGTAATGTAAATCCATTTTCTTATCAAATAGACATTTTTGCCTACTCACATCTTCTAGGGATTCCATTCTAGCAACTGAAAAATAACAAGTTATTAATGTTTTGTTTTTGTTTAATGTTTGAATGGGTTAGATTTTTACTTTGATAAGAGCTTTTCCCATGGTTTTTCACCTAGGCACTTACACATAAAAACATTCAGAGGGTTTCTCCCTTTAAAACACTACTTTTAATTTTCATAAGAATGTTGCACAGTTAGAATTGGTCTTGCATAGGTAAATTCTGTTTATAACCTGGGCACTCATAATCCAAAATAGAAATACTCCTAATATAGGGAAAAGTAAGAATTACTCATGGTTAAAAATAATAGAATCCTGTCATAACCCAATATTATAAGAATTTAGATATATTCTAGACCAATCACAGTCCCTGAAACTTTACAATATACAATAAGGCCTGCCACATCAGTCAGTTAATTGAAGGTTATTCTTAATCCTTTATATTGGCATTAAAAATAGCTCATCTAAATTATAATAAGCATGAATATGACTATGTAATAAGACAAAAGCACTAAGTGAAAAGTAATACAAATCTAACCACTCTAGAAAAATAAGAGGTTTAAGTATTATTAATAGTCCTGGTACATGCCCCATGAAGATATAAATAAACCAAATTTAAGCCAAGTAATTTTCAATGATATTCTGAGACTATGTCCAAAAGATGAATAGCCTATTAATTTAGCCACAAATCATCTTCTATTGTGAAAAATGTTCTTCTAGATATAAGTGATAAGATGGGCATGATAGCATGAAACCTCATTTCAGCAAAAAATAAAGATTTAAAATAAATGCTGTGAAGAAACAGTTTATCAAAATAATAAGTTGTTGTATTAATCTCACACATTGATGTACTGTTTGCCAAAACATATGCTGGTTGGTACAAACATGTCCCAAGTTATGCACCCATCAGATAAGAAGAAATTATGAACACTTAAAATTAAAATTATGGAAAAATAAGCTACCTAGCAATGTGTAGGCATGAGTCCATCCCAAGTGTTCAAACTGTGGAGCCACTTCTACTGGAGACTTGAATCTTCGAGTTTCAGATCTACACAAGGCAGATCTTGATATATACTACCCATTAGGAAAATTCTACTGAATCCGGAACATTCTGGGATGGGACTCAGTAAAAAAAAAAAAAAAAAAAAAATCAGCCACTGAACTTCCTCATTGTACCTAGTCTTTGTATCTAATAATTCCATATTTTACTCTGAGATGCCCAATTTTACACTTTCAAAATAAGGCATTTTATGAAAGGTATACACATTTTAATACAGTTCAAAATAGAAAAAAACAGCAAAAATCATCTTAAACAAACAAAATTTTTTATCAGATTATACACCTGAGCAGTAGAAAACTTTGAGATAACATTTAAAAAATATTGACATGTTAAAAGGAGTATTTTAATTTCAAAGCACTATAAAATTGATTTTAAATTCCCTTTGGACGAAAACATTCCCTAGTCTCCTTCACTAAACTATATTTAATTATTCAAATACATAAAGAACTTGTTCTCTAAACATGGACGGTATGAAGAAAGAAATTACAGGACTACTTTTCAACAAGAATACAATATGCATGAAGCTTTGAGAATGTGACTTTTTACCAGAGTTTCTGAGAGTGCAATAGTACTAAATGTTCTAAATGCAATCCTTCAGATCCATGAGCTGTGAAAGTAATGCTGGTTTGGAAAATGAGGTTGATACTTCCTCTCTTAAACTTTCAATGAATGGCTGCTTCTGTTTCTAAGTTGCAGGGACAAAGCACCTCTATCACATAAGCACATAAACACACAACTCAACTATCCAGATACTCGGGGCCACAGTCTCAAATCTAGGACAGTACAGGTTCAACAAACTGATGACCTAGATTGCATATGTATGCTAATTCATGCAATATATAATTCACAAGGTTCATCTAACATCAAAAGCCTAGCTAAATCTTTTAGAATATTTTTTATTAAATGTTACTTATTTAAAATGGTCACTTACAAAAGAAATCCAGTCATAATGATCTCCATTCCTCACAAAGGAAGCTTGATTTGAAATTGGCTTGTAAGTGAAATGATGTATAAGAGAGGTTAAAAAAAAAAAGTGTCCTAGCCGGGCTTGGTGGCTCAGCCTGTAATCCCGCGCCTTTGGGAGGCTGAGGTGAGTGGATTGCCTGAGCCTGCAGGTTCGAGGCCCGCCTGAGCAACTTGGCGAGACTTCGTCTCTACAATAAATCAAAAACTAGCCGGGCGTGGTAGTGCATGCCTGTAGTTCCAGCTACCTGGAAGGCTGAGGCGGAAGGATTGCTGGAGCCCAGCAGGTTGAGACTGCGGTGGCTGGGAGCGGCCACTGCACTCCAGTCTGGGCGACAGAGTGAGACTCCAACTCAAAAAAAAAAAAAAAAAAGTGTCCTATAAGAAGTGCTATTTGGCAGACATAAAGAAACATAATTTCAGTTTGAAATTTAGATTTTTCTAATCAATAATCAGGCTTTTGTTGAGGAAAAGAGGGAATGCCCAATTATTTTCTCAACCAGTAAGGCCAGGAGGAAACAAATCTATTTCCCTCTCTAAGTAGTCCTTAATTATCTCTTCTCAAGGGAGAGAAGCAGTTAATTTGATTGGATAAGCACAATCACTATTAGACCACCTTACACATGTGAGCACAGAACCTGCGTTAACAAACAGAGCACATTTACCAGCATCTCAGACAACTGGAATTGTGAAAGAGTGTTCCCTTCTGCCCCTCTCGCCTTCACCTTGTGCTGTTGCTCTCCCTACATGTGGAGGTGGGGTAGGGGTTGAGAGGTAATAACCTGAGGTCTGCACAGGGGTCTGGCTGTCTTCAATTCCATGGGGAGAGACAGGGAAATTGCTTTGGCCCCAGACCTAAGCCACACTCTTCTAAGCATACAGCAAGTTACAAGGAGCTTGCTCAGACTCACAGAACATTACTCTGCTTCTCATTAACCTAGTGATCCTTGTGTATAGAAATCCTGAGCTAGAGAAAGGTGAGTGACACTTTGCACTTTTTTCATGCAGCAAATCAGTGAAGTCTTGGACAGAATGAAAGGACTTATGAGCCCCAGAGATATTCACCATTAGCCAAACAAACGAGTCATTACATAAGTTAGAAAGAACACTGGCTCCAGATGGGCACAGTTGAAATGTATATATATTGATGAGAGAGGTCAAACAATTTATTCTGGCCTGTTCCTGTTATGACAGGTTAGTGTCATTCAGATGAATAAACGTCTACCATGGTCAACTTGTCCTAAAGAGACGAAGGATGGGATGGATACATTTTAGTAGGGAACAAGGTGAGAGTTGAGGGCGAGGGAGTATGGTAATGGTAAACTCAGGAGGGAGAGAAGGCAGCCCCAGGTCTGAGTGTCTGAGGTGGAAGCAAAGAGAAGGAGTCCAAGAGGATAAAAAGGAAGACAAGAGAAAATTCTGTTTAGGGATGGCTCTGGTGTGATACATTTTTCATTAGTGAAAATTTCTACGAACTATTATATAGTTTTAGTATACTATGTATATACATAATTAATCGCATTTCATTCCACGTAGCCATATATCCTGAAGCTCAGAAATTGAGTCGAATCCTAGCAGTTAAAACCAGGGTTCATACACAGAGTACCTAAGCAGATTTTGTCCCTTGTCACCCAGTGGCTTTTCCACATGACTTTAAAAAGATACAATATAAGCGTGAGAAAAATTAATTGATCAATTATTTTCAAATACATTACAGACTCTCAGATAATTAAAAAACAAACATATCTTATTTGTATATTTTAAATTTTCAAGTACTTTTGCCTTGATGATCAAAAGACAAAATACTCAGACAACCTGAAAGCAGGGAAAATAGAAAATACACTTTTAGTTTTTCATTCTGCTTTCCCAAGAACCACAATAACTCTAGACATCATTTACGAGAAATAGGAAATAAGGGTGAGCAGAGGATGCTGTGCTGAAACACACAACTCTGCAAAGCTCACCAAGCAATCACTGCACCTGTAATAAAGGTATGCTTGTGGATTCAGATTGATTTGTGACATTTGCTATGAAAAAGCCTTTGGGTAACTATTCCTGTAAGAAGTATTCTCTCTTTAGTTTCTACATATTCAACATTTGGAGGACTGGATCAGATAGTCTGGAATGATGATCATTTAAGAGGAAGGATGTGGAAAGATTCATAAGCAGAAGGAACATCTTCTGGGAGGTGTCAAAGATCATTGCTGCTGGGTAACCGGGCGCAATGGCATGGACTTCTCGAGAGAAACCAAAGCCAATCAGAACTATATGGACAGCCAATGCCACTAGATATTGCATTGTAGTTACCTCACATAATAAATCACTGGAATTATATGTTTATGAATAATATTGAATTTGCTCATAAAGCTGACACTATCACAAAGTAAAATGTTTTTTCAAAAAAACAAAACAAAACAACCTTAGGTCTATAGTCTTAGAAATTTAAATTTTAAAAATCAAGGCAACCAACTGAAATAATGGAAGCTAGTATAAAACCAAAAAAATAATGGAAAAGTCTGAAAAACCGATCAAAGCAAGAAAACACGATTCTGTTCCTGGGCTGGTCAGTGTCACACTCGTTTTCCAAGTTTGTACCCCTGAGACAACTGTTTGATAACCATTATACAGTAGGCACAGAAATCAGCATACTTTATCAAACAAAACACTATGTTAAAAAATTATATTAATTTTTGTAAATGCTGTGGATGGAGGAGAATAATCTTTAGAGTTTTAAAATCTGTGCTTGGTTTTCATCTAGAAATGAGTAAATTTCAGGCAAATAAACATCATCTGTTACTGACATTTTTCTTCCTTGCCTGCAAATTCACTTGCAATTCCATAAAGTATACATTTCAGAAAACCATTAACAACAGAAAACAGTTGCGGTGGGATTTGTTTGCATGTATGAACTATTAGCCTTGAAATGCTTCTTGAAGGTAGAGCACGTGAGAATTCTTTGGCTCGATCACAAAGAGCTCCAAATCTTGGGTTTCGTGGATTGAGGATTCTGAGTCACTATACTTTGGCTTTTAGGCTACATTAAGAGCACATTAACACTTTCAGTGTAACTTACATGTAGTGAAGTTTACCTCACTAACAATACTTCACAGGGTCCCTCCAAGAAAGCCCAGTGCTGACGCGGCAACACTAGTGATAAGAGCTTATTGAGATGGCAGACTGAAGTGACACAATGACACTGTTAATCATTTGGTTTGTTCTGAAAAAAGTTTGTAAAGGACCACCCTCCTCCATTAGATTTAGGAGAGTCTTCATCTTTAGGAGGAATCAAAAATTGCCGGGAATTAATGGAGCACGGACTTCCAAATGAGACAACTTCACTGTTGCTGTCTGTGGATCTAGGAGAGTCTGGGGATACTAAGTTCCATGTATTTACACTTGCCTGAGGTCTGTAACCCGCAGTTTTATCTAAGTCATCTTCTCCAGCTGTATCTTCTACAGTAGAATTAATGTGGAGGTGCATTTGTGGCTTATATCCTGCCCCTCCTACAGGGTCATTTTCTTGTTCTTCCTCTGGTTTTGCTTGAGGCTGATACATTGACTGAACATCAATGTAAATGACTTGTGAAGTCCCTCCAGCTTCATCCGCAGCTGGATTTGGTATCTCTTCCTCAATGATTGGTGGACAGTAGGACACAACCACGTGGTTTTCAGGCTCTGCATCACAGCCATCTTCAGGACGCTCAGCTACCGGGGAAATTATTTCTGTATCTTCTATCTTAGGAAATGTCGATCTAGTTTCCAAAACCTCAACATTATTTGGGGTACAAGGATTCATTTCCAATGTTTTCAGACCACTGCTTCCCTAGAAATATATGTAAAACCTGTGATTAAGAACAGCACTAAATGCTATTGCAATGCTCCTCCTACAGAAAGGGGCATCATTTGATTTTCCCCTACATCTGCTTGTGAATGTGTGTCTCTACTACTCTTAGTGCACACAAAAGCAAAGCCATGTTTTTCCTCTGTATCAATATTTTCTTTGCTACTAATAGTAGTGGGGCAAAAAGAGCATGGTCTAAACAATTTAAAATTAATAATTTTAGAAATTGAGCAGATGTGAAAGCATGCAATTTTCTCAATACTTTTCAATTAGGCTGACATTTGCATGTTTAAAATGTTTCACAAAAGGAAAATGGAAACTGGATAAAAGTAAGAAAATAAAGATTACCTCACAGACACTCTTTTGAAACTGCAATGCTTTACAATTTTCTGGATTTGGAATATCAGGGTAAAAGGTTTCTTTAATCCTTTAAATAAAGAAATATCAGGAAAATTTAATAATTATAAGATTATCAATTAGATAACAAACAAGTTAATACATTATGAAGTATTTTTTGAATTTAGTATTTATGAATACTTTAATGAACATCTGAGATAAAAAAGAAAGATGTTAGTGTGAGATCATTCACTAGAGCTTTCTATATAATGCATTGAGAAGTTCCGATGTGAAAGCTATAAACAATTCTACTTCTACAATTACAATATTTTAAGTATCTCATGAAAATGGAAAGCAAATAATTAAAATAGTGACTGTGCCATCAAGTCCAAAGTCAAATATGGGCATTGTACATGTAACTAAAATTTTCAATTGCAAACTAGATTAAGCACAATCAATGACTTGGAAATACATCTGCATGATGAAGTCCTCCACTGCCCATAACAGGATCTGGACTATGCTAGGAAAGCTGTGGCACTGTGCACCTGCTTGATCAACATGCTCAAAACAAAGTGAGTGATAAAGGTGACAACCCTATGACATGAGTACTCTGCAGGCTGTGCTAAGAAAACAAAAGGCTATTCATCTTAAGGAAAACTAAGTGCCGTCAAAAATCAGATTTGCCCAGTCAGTGTCATATCATGTTTGTATATTTACATCTATTAAAAATAGCTTTATTATTTGAAATTCCTGAAGAAAAAATAACTCTGTTAATGTAAACCTGAAACGCTCTAACTTCTAAACTCCCTTCTTACTTTGTCCATTTTTTTGTATTGAAATTATTATTTTTTATTTATTTATTTATTTATTTATTTATTTATTTATTTATTTGAGGTGGAGTCTCACTCTGTCGCCCAGACTAGAGTGCAGTGGCTGCTCCCAGCCACCACATCCTCAACCTGCTGGGCTCCGGCGATCCTTCCGCCTCAGCCTTCCAAGTAGCTGGAATTACAGGCATGCGCTACCACGCCCGGCTGATTTTTTTTTATTTTTAATTTATTGTAGAGATGAGGTCTTGCTGCCCAGACGGGTCTCGAACCCGTGGGCTCAGGCAATCCACTCACCTCAGCCTCCCAAAGGCGCGGGATTACAGGCTGAGCCACCGAGCCTGGCTGAAATTATTGTTTTTAAAAAGTAATTTTTGGTAATGAGAATATGGCTACCGAAATAGACTATTCTATTGTTCTACAACTATTGCAATTTTGATGTATAAGCCAGTATTGCCTCTTCTTTGTCAAATGAGGACATTTTTAAGGTCAGAGAGGACCTGTATGAGCATGAATGCAGTCATTGGTCCCTTGCCCAGCCCAGGACAGTGCCTGCCAGGTAACCATGTGCACAGTATTTTCTCCTGTTGAACCCCTGCCTACCTCACCTCACCTCACACCACTCACTCCAGCTTCACCTGGCCACATAGCTCCTCTCACTTTCTTCAGAAAGTCAAGCTCTTTCCAATTTGGGGGTCCTCATTTCTCTCTGTCTGGAACATTCTTTCCCCTCTCCTTACCCTTTGGGGACTCTCCCACAGAGCGGCCTAGGCCGACTACCTCATGTGACATGGCCATTGATGGTCTCCTCAGGGCACCTGGTTCCCTTCCTCCCTGGTGCCACCTCACTCTAAGTATACACTTACTTACTGGATGCTTATGGTTTACTGTCTCTCTCCCTCCATGTGCTATATAGGTATATAAGAACCATGCCTATTTTATTCACCACTATATCTCCTTCTCAAGGAAGAGACAACTCAAATTTGTTGAATAATGAGTAAATGGCCAAAACAATCAGATATTCTAAGTAAGTCATCAAGACAAGTGAGATCTTAATCATTAAATGACACTTAATCTTGCAGATAGCTAGTGCTATTATTGATGACTACAAAATTTTTTAACAATAGTAACTTCTATTACTTCAAATTATTAGTAAAAATGGTGGGGAAAACGTTACATTTTTACTCTATTAGGTTTAAGCCCCTTAAATAATATGTCATGCTCTTGCTTAATATTAAATTCAACATTAGTTCTGCCTAAAACATATTTTTTTTACTAACTCGTTACAACAAAAAAGATGCATTTATTTATGTAACACATAAAGTAAAAGATCATGCCCTTAAGAACAAAATAGCAAGAGTAAATGCAGGTACCATTACCATTCTCGTTTCCGATAGCAAAGGATACTTGTTACCACTCCAACAATGACAGCCACTGCCACTGGGATGAGAATTGCAATAATTAATCCCACAGCTGAAAAGAGAGTATTTGAAAATATTAAAAATCACCATCTTTAGCATAAAGTATAGAATACATTTATATTAGAAGATATTTAGGTTGGTAGATTTTTTTTTAATACACCAAATTAACTGCTCCAGGGACAATAAAAACTATTAAAATATAAACTTCAAGGATCATAATATTTTTTATGTTAGTATTAAGCTCTTTTGAGCACAGTTTCTCAATCCTGGCACTTTTAACATTTTAGACCAGATATTTCTTCATTGGATGAGGAGTCTTGTGTACTACAGGAAGTTTAGAAGGCCTATTACCACTAGATATTAGTAGTGTTCCCCAGTTGTGACAACCAAAAATGACACCAGACAGTGCCAAGTGTCTCCTAAGTGACAAAATCACCCCGTTAAGACCTGCTGCTTTAGAGAAACACTTGTCCTTAGGTGTTTTATTTAGGAGCCATGTGTAAACTCCAACTAAGGGGCAGAGGATAAGCCCATGATCAAATTTAAGTTCTTTGTTGCTGAAAGATGCAGAGCCTCACTCTTCTCTCATCTCTAATTTATGAGTGTTGTGTTGTATACATATTTTTTAAAATATTTCTTTCGCTTTTCCCTGAACATGTTAAAAAATCACAGATTACTGGAGCAAAAGATTCTTAAGAGGTTGACCATTATATACATTCAATATGAATTTAGACTTCTAGACTTCAGATGTATCCATAATTCATTAAATTCTTTTTTTTTGAGGCGCCGCAGTCTCGACCTGCTGGGCTCAGGTGATCCTTTCACCTCAGCCTTTTAAGTAGCTAGAACCACAGGCATGTGCCACCACGCCCGGCTAATTTTTTAAAAAATTTATTGTAGAGATGAAGTCTCACCATGTTGCTCAGGCTGGTCTCAAACACCTGAGCTCAGGCAATCCTCTTGCCTCTGCCTCCAAAAGTACTGGGATTACAGGCTTGAGCCACCATGCCTGGCTGCTTAAGTTCTTATTAATGGTACTTATTAGGTACTTATTTGAAAATAGCTTCAGATAACTGACAAGAACAAACATGACATCATCTCATGGCCTTGTAGCATTTCCCTCTACCAGCCATAAAAATGCAACAAAAAGTGAAATTGTTTTTAAAAAAGGGAAGGGGAGGGGTTCCTATATAAACCCCAAATTGCTAGGAACACTACACATTCAAGGATGGAAAGCACCTGAGCAGCAAATTGTAACTTACAATTTTCCTTTGTCACCACAAACATACTTTTCTCTGGGCCCATTCCGCCATCTGTATAGGCTCGCAAGACCAGATGGTAACTTGTTTTACCTTGAAGATCAGCAATTCTCAATGTCTTCTGGGATATGTCAGTGATATTCTTAACTTTCACATCAGAACGACCTATTTTTAAAGTGAAGAATATTATTACGAATCTCAATGCCATCTTAAACACATGGTTAACTATACCTGCCACACCAACTATCTTTCTAGGTGGGTCCAGGCTATGGCCACCCCCAGCCAAGGACTCTGAAGCCAGCCATGTTCTACCTCTACCAGTCAGTAGCTATATGCTCTGGGCCCATTATTTAAACCACTCTGAAATCAAGTTTCTCTCACTATAAAATAGAATATCATGACTTATCTCACAGGGCTGGGTAAAGTTTTATTACACATCTAGAATACTGCCTGACATATAGCAAGCAATCAATAAAAGTCACTTTCCTTTCAGTTACTAAGAGCATGAAAACCACTACAACCAAAACCCACTCAGGCTGACCTTGCCTATGCATCAGAGTGAAAAACTGAAATGAAGCAAGACTACAAATCAATACAGATGACTTCCGGCTACTTAGAAAAAGGACAGTGTTATGGGAATTCTCAAGTGAAAGGCTAGTGAGAACAATTATAACACAATGTAACAGAAGTTATGTGAATGTGGTTTCTTTCTCTTTCTGCAAATATCTTATTGTACTGTCCTCACCTATTTTTGAACTGCGGTTAACCATGGGTAACTAAAATCGCAGAAAGCAACACTGCAGATACGGTGGGGAGACTACTCAGGTCCTTCAGTTCTGACATGTTTTCTTTAGTCAACGTCCTCGATTCAGCCCAGATTCATTCTAAACATTTGCCTCCAACACCTGGTCTGGCATGAATCAAGGTACTTCTCCAAGATACGCGACAGCCCAGATTTCATCCTTTTCCACGTTACATCATTTGCCCTACTTCTACCTCAACATTTCTGAATCTTTTTTTTTGGTCTTGTCTTGCCTTTTCCATTTTCTTTCTCTTTGTGAGTTTATGAGGGTTTGGGGGTTTTGTTTTCTTCCCTTACTCTTAACTTTAGTGACCAAATCTACCATGTCCTGTTGGTAGAGTTTTTACTGGCCCAAGTGTAAAATTTTCAAGTATTTGAGGAAAGTTACCCTAGACTCTGGATGTTTGTGGAATTCGATATTTGGAGATGCTCTCATCCACAAGCAACCCTGAAGGTTCAGGAAATGCAGAATTCAGTGACGGAGGGGTGGGGGGGGGGGGGGGTGCACATTTAACACAGCTGCTCTGAGGAGTGACTTAGCTAATGCCCAGTCAGCATCTCCATGCTGCATTGTTGTTCTCTACTTGTCAGACAGGCATTAAATAATTAAAATTATTTCTTTCTGAGGAGAGGTCATCCAGGGAAACGAAAGCTCTCAAAGTGAAAAGATTATATGCTTGTGTTATGCAGCTATGAAGAAGAAACATCTGACTCTCGACAGAAATACAATTTACAGAGAAGCCAGAAATCTGTATCAACAGTTTTACATCTGTAAATCTGAGAACTCTCTAAAGTCTTTGGGCATACACTTACCAACTGTCAGGGATTATCTGTACTTTTTAAGATTTCGTACATACAACCCTAATCAAGTCAGCTAAGTCTCCCAGCTTTTTGAAGGGCCACGGCTAAGGAAGATGCTAATGTGCTGATGGCTCTTTGTCAAATGACACTTGAGGCTCTGAAGCCATTCTTTGAATTCTCGAGTTTTTCTCCTCCATTATTATAAGTACAAGAAGACTTTTCTTTCAAAGTAAGCATCATGAGATGCTATGTTAAGGCTATAATAAGAGATGGTCTCTGTCTGATGAGGCTTATAATCAAAGGCTTCAGAATAAATTACTTAAATGATTTCTGAAAGACTACACATGTCATTTATTACATACTAAAATCTTAAAACTCTTATCTTCATAAAACTACTGCATTTTCATTTCCCAAATTTTTAGACAGTATGGAAACTAGTATTAAACTGCTGGACTACACTTTCTTTCCTCTTTTCTTTCTTTCGTGGTTAAATAACCACACCTCATCGACAAGAGTATCTGCATAATGAATATTTGCATACTTAACCCTGAATTGTACTGCACATATTTAAAATAAAAAATAAAAAAAGAGAAACTTCTGATCTATCACAGAAACAAAAAACTAAGTACCACATGTTCTCACTCATAAGTGGACCCTGAACATTTTCCATAATACAGCAAGAAAGGGATTGGTGGGCAACCCACTTTTGGGTCCCCTCTTGCTTCTGAGAGCTTTCCTATCTTGTATATCTTCTAATAAAACTCCAACTTGTTCTCTTAAAAAATAAATAAATAAAAAAGAAAGGGATTGGCAGTAGTGGGACACTGTCAGGGAAGTGGGGGCACATAACATCATTAAGAGTACCCAATCTCAAACCGGGTGAAGTGGGGACCAAAGGGAGGCCCAAACTTTACCTGTATGATGACCATTTGTATACCTAAATCTGAATTGTATCCCACATCTTTAAAATAAAAAAAGAAGAAAAGAAATTTCTGAAAAACACCATACTCATGCTAATTTACTTACCTGATGATTCCAAACCCCTCATCTTAGATGTGTCTCTCTCTCCTTTTTCAAAGTAAAATAAATATCCTCTTAAGAAGCCTCTAAGCTCTTCCACAGGAATATCTTCCCATTTTACTAATATCGAATCTGCAGAAGTATCCTCAACAGTAAAATTTGGTGCAACGTTTGGAGCTAAAAAAAGGAAAAAGTCAATTGCTAAAGGAATGTTTATTAATACAGAGTAAGACAGTCATGTTCCATGAGATTTGTAGTGTCGAAAATAACTGAACTTGAAATTAAAACTTTATTCCTTATTTAATTATAAACTTTCAGAGATATCACAAACATTCATATAGTAAAGTTCATTATTGTCTAATAATCATAGACAAAAAAACATTTTTAGGAACAAAGGTAGAATTTACAATAGCAGTTTTATACAAAAACGCATATCTAGGGAAGCATCCTATACAAAGTCTTTAAGTGGCTACTCAAATAGACTTCATCTGTATTTCTCTTTTTTTTTTTTTGAGTTGGAGTTTCACTCCGTCGCCCAGACTGGAGTGCAGTGGCCTCTCCCGGCCACCGCAGCCTCGACCCACTGGGCTCTGGCGATCCTTCCGCCTCAGCCTTCCGAGTCGCTGGAATTATAGGCATGCGCTACCACGCCCGGTTGATTTTTGATTTATTGTAGAGATGAGTTCTCGCTGCCCAGGCGGGTCTCGAACCCATGGGCTCAGGCTATCCACTCACCTCAGCCTCCCAAAGGAGCGGGATTACAGGCTGAGCCACCGAGCCCGGCTTTCTCTTCTTTTTGATAATCCTGAATAAGTTAATAATTTTTCAAGCATGTGTAAGTGCAAATTCAATATTTTTGACATCCAAGTTAAAATTTAATTTTCTAGATGACATCAAAAAATTGAAATATAAATATTAAACAAATTAAGAAGTAATCAAATAATTTTAAATTTATCAAATTTCATTGATCTAACCATCTAATCCAATCTATTTTCAGAATTCAATCTTACTATTGTTGTTTATACCTTTTCATATTACTTTGAAGTCTAAAAAAAACTTACCCAATTCTTCTATATATCCAATTATGGAACGTAATAATTGATATCCTTGATTTTTGCACCCATACAGGAAAAAATTATATCTTACACCTGGTCGAAACTGATCTATAGGATGAACACAATCAGTAAACTTTTGTAAATATATACTACCAAGAATATCTATTTTAGAAATATCAAATTTATAGTAACTTACTCTGAAATTTCCAAACTCAAAGCTAATCTTAAAGATATTTTCTTAATAAAAATACTTCTGTAATTTCAAAATTGGTAAATATTAAGAGTTAAAACTGACCAAACAAAGATTTAGCAAATTCACTTCTATTGTAATGAAAAGTTTAGTATTATAAGATGGCATCGTCTTAAAGAGAAAAAAGGTGATCAAGGCTTACACTGTGTTCCTTAAAATCAGGCAATAATGACTTCTTCCCAGTTTTGATTTTGGGCCATTCACTAAGTTCACTAATCCATTCCAGATCCACATCATACCTCTTCCCTACATCATATTATTTCTGGGTTAGGAAAAAACCACTGCTCTCTCCCCTTGTTCCAAGAAACAGAATTAAAACTTCCACTCTACCTTTAAGCTTTAGCATTAAATAAACCAGGCATTAGAGTCTGTTCCTCTTTACAGCATCACATTAAGTATCCCTAAGTGAGTTAACACCACAAGACAAAGGATGAAGTAGCTTAATGTCCATTCAAAAAAACGTCTTTTAAATTCCTCCTCACTACAAGGCAAGATATGCAATGCGGGAAACACAGAGATGTGCAAGACAAGGTCCCTGGCATGGAGACACTGGTAGAGTTGTGGGAAGACTGATGAACAAGGTGAACCCTAACAGTATGCTATAATAAAGGTACATATCAGATGCTGTGGAAACTTAATAGGAACCAGACAGATCTAAAAAGATCAGGAACATTTACCACAAGTGACATTTAATCAGGGCCTTGAAGGGCAATTAGGAGCTCATTAGTGGTGGTCTAGGAAGAATATAATGCTGGGGGGAAGGACGGGGCATGGTGTTTAACTTGTGGAATGCAACAATTCTAGTGTGATTAAAGCATTTGTTCTCCAATCATGTGCCCATAGAACACCACCCATAGAACACCAGTGGTCTACAGACTCCAGTGTGAGACAGTCAACTTCTAATATCATACGATCCAAAGAAAAAATGGATAGACTTGCCTAAATTTTCACTATTCTTCTTGCAATATTTTTTTCTTAAATGTTTGCTCTGTTCTGGCAAGTCCTAAGTAAATATTAATGGAAACTCAAGCTTAACCAACTGTGTGTAGCATCGTAACTTTTTCTTTTGGAGAAAGGTATGCTTGAGGTTATGACTTTACACTACACATATATTAGTAAACCTATACCTCATTTTATGTTTAAATTATGTACTATCAATATTCCATGGGGTTCTGCCACCTAAAAAAAAAGCCTAAGTAGGTTAGAGCATTAGGAATGTTGAGAGTTGATGATTTAATGAGTAGACATGAATAAGGAAAAAGAGGAGTGCCTACTTTGTGTCACTTGCTGTTCTAGAAGCTCAGCAGTAAATAAAAGACTCTTCCTGGTCTCTTGAAGCTTTGAATGGCTTTGAATTTGAACTCTGATCCTATCGCATACTAATTTTGTGACTTTGGGCACAATACCTAACTTCTCTGAGTCTTTGTTTTCTTAACCACTGTAGGGCCTTTGCCCATCTATGTTGGTACAGAAAGTTCTTCAATCATCATGGGGTGACTTCTCCACATCCTACACATAAAACTTGTATCTGTTGACACTACATCCACTCCCCCAACCCCAGTCAATCACAATTATCCTGAAAGCCCAGGAGAGAAAGGACAAGCTGTAACTATGTAAGGCTCAGTCAGCTCCATGGGTGGGAAGTGCAAGGAAAAATGCAGGAAAGAGAAGAATGGAGGATGGCTGGGTACCTTGATAAGGGAAGGACACTGTAAGAAAGGATAAAGGGAACAACTTAGGAAGACCACTGCCATGTTAGCCATTAGACAGGTGAAGGACCTTGGCTGTATTCCAAGTAGAACTGGAAAATGATCTGAACCCATAGGTGGTAACCCAGTCAATGAATGGGACTCACCATCACCATGTGGCACTGACACAGTAAACAAGCCAGAAGTGTTCCCTGGGAAAGAGGTCATGAGCAGGCTGCTTGCTCTTCTGCACTTCACTAACACATGAGGGAGAACCAGAAGGGGACTGATCAAGAAGCATCACTACCAACAGGCTGTGGGGTCCAGAAATCCCATGGGGACAGGCATGATCCACTCTCATCGGCTCTCAGAGGAATGATGCCACTGGAAGAGGGCCCTAATTCCAAAGGACAAGAATGGTTTGGCCTGCAGGTTACCAAATCCTCCTCAAGGGCTAAGCTTCTCAGGCTGCCTCTCCTCACAGGCAGCTCACCACAGGTCACAGGCTCCTGAGCAGCCAGGTACTGGGAACACAAGACTCCACCCACACTGTGCCCACTCCCACACAGATGACCCCTCACCCTCCATCAGGGAAAGTGGTAATGGGCCTAAGGCTTTTTGTGCTCAGTCCGTAACCTCAGGAACCTGGGCCCTGAGCAAACAAAGGCTCAGGTGCACAAGTGAGACTACCCTGCTTATGGTTTCGTAGTTTTCTCTTTTTCACAAGCATTTCCCCATGTTGTTAAACCTTTGACATAATTTTTAATGCTACTTAACATTTCATTTTATAAACATATCATCATTTACGCATCCCCTCATTTGCTATTTGAGTTGCTTTCACAATTATCAGTGATGTTGTGGTAAATATTCTTAGTTGTAAATCTGTGTTGTTTTCTGATTATTTCTTAGGATAAATTCCCAGACAAGTAATTACCAGAATCAAGGGTTCAAATCCTTCACATATATATCGCTACAACCACCTTCCCAGACAAGTAATTACTAGATTCAAGGGTTTGAATCCTTCACATATATATTGCTACAACCACCTTCCATGAAAATTAAGCCCATTCACACCCACCCAGCTGTAAAGGAGAATGCTCACTTCACTGCACCCATGCCGATGTTGCTTTTTAAAATTCTTTTTTGAGAATGTAGTTGAGAGACTGTAACTCAGCTTACCAGATTCTATCACAGTTTCAGTGCTGTTTGAAGAAACTTTTCTCCAGTCCATGAGGCATGGTTTAGACCTAGACGAATTACACCACTTAATGACATAGTCGCAAGTCATGTTGGGGTCGTAATGCCAGGTAAGGACAATCCCCTTTCCTCTTCCAACGGCCTGCTCTATTTTGAGATCATCTTTAATAAGAAAGAAGGATATTTTACTGGCATTGAAAACAATAATATAAAGCAAACCTCAGGAAAATGAGCAAGAGTTATAAAAATTACTTCACTGTTAAAAAAAAAACAGTGCTCAAACTAGATAAATCTTTAGCAAAGATTAGAAGTGTTGCTATGCTGATTTTATTGTAACAACTATGGCACTTCCCCGATCAGCATATTAGCTGAAATCAAATGATTTAAACCAAAAAAAAAAAAAAAGCACCTAGGATCAGGTAGTGACGTGCTGGGGCTGGGACAGGAAGATCAAGGGTTGGGAAGGACAGGGATGAGGGCACTGGAGAGGATGGGACATGGTAACACAAAGAGAGGTCAGGAGGTGAGAGGCTGAGGAGGGCTAGTGGACAGCCAGAAGCCCTCCTCTCATCATCCACTATGAATACAAGCTCCCCGAGAGCAGGCGGCCCAATGAGAAGGCACACAACAAACATGTGGCAGGGGTGGTTGAACTAGCCCCTTCTCTTTCTTTCAGGGAGACTCCTACCCCAGTGATGGGTTGAAGGAGATTCTGGCTGACCAGGAGCATCTGGGGTCATATGGTCTGTTGAGATGCAGGCAGCTGTGAGGTGGGATGGCAGGTGTGGGTAGAGTGGAGAAATCCACCTGGGGAATATCACAGGACAAGGAGCATAGGCTGGGGGCAGGAGATGGAGTGGGGACTGTGGTGAGGTTTTATTTCACACCCTGCCAGGTCTTGGCCAAGGTGAGAAGTGGGGCCCAAGATGAGGTGGGGTTAGGGCAATGTGGTCAAAAGGGAGAGGGGAATTTCCCACAGTAACAGGAAAAAGAAGTAATTTCTCTAACTGATTTAGATATAAGGATTTAGTAAAACACACACACACACACACACACAGAAAGGTTTTTTGAACAAAATTTGCATTCATTAAGCAACTACTACTGAACACAAGACAACAATCTGGATGCGAATATGGAGCACTTTGGACATAACAGCTTTTTGGCTCAGTGATTAAAAAGCCGCAATGTTAACCTGAGCTGGGGCTACAGAGCTCCAACTCTGGAAATCCTCAAGGAATAAGGATTTGTTCTGGGGCTTTGGTAATTGTCTAAAAGCTGATGACAGACCATTGTTAGTTCTGTAAATTACCATCTTGTGAGGAACACATGGGAAAGGCAGGATTATAGTTCTTGAAGTAAAAGATAACATCACTACTACTATCATTGGGAGAGCAAAGAAATATATCATCTAAATCAGCACATTGTCTTCTTATGGCTGTTCGCACATCTTTCTTTTTTACTTTGTTATTTGTGCCAGATAAAAATGAAGTGCCATTAGTCAGTTTCCTTCTAAACCCTTCTCCTGGCTGCTGCCACAGCAGTGCCCCGGGGCCTCCCCATGTCACTGCCCCAGTGTCTCTCCAGCACTGTTCAGGGCCCTCCCCATAGCACTGCAATCTGGGCTCTGGCTAGTGCTCTGGACCTCTAAAATGTATGCTGCTTCTCCATTCCTTCTTCCTAATTATCCCATGACTGACTCAAACAGCACAAAGACCCAAAGGTCCCTAACTGGACCAATTTTTCTTCCTCTGGGGGTAGATAGTTATAGGAAGGAACTCCCTTACTGGAGCAGGACAACAAACAGGGGAGAGCAAATGACTGGAAAAAGGAGTTAAGTGGAAGAAGTGGAAGTGACTATTTAAGTTCATGACTCAAAAAGTTGTCAAGGTAGACGCTAAGGAGGAATGAACTAGTTGTTGGAAATTCATAAAATTTAAAGGAAAGCTCTAAATAATTTTAAAATTACACTACAGTTATTTTTAAAGTCTATCTTCAAGATGTAATTTAGACTTTAGGAAGACTTTCTTATCAATAAAGAATTCCTATTAATACAGAATTTTTTATCAAAAAGGATGCCAATTAAAATGAATATTTTTTTCCTGCCAAACAGTTTGCCAAATAGCCTAGCTGTCCTAGAATAAACTCTCATAGTCCTGGAGAGATATCTGAAAACAATATTTGAATAAGCTGTTAAAATATTTCTTCCTAAAGGTACTGTCCACCACTGTAACTCTCCAACATTATGCAATAAAATAATTGAGTACAGTGATTATTTTATGCATAGGGTACTGTGTCTCAATGAATATTAGACAATCTGTTCATCCCTCCCTTACACATCTGCGACAGGGTACATGAGAAGAATGCTGACATTATGTAAGATCAACTAACACCCACTTTTTTACTTTACTTTCCTTCTCTTATATACTACATTATCTTAAACACTTACCATTTGGAATTTCCATACTCGCTATTTTAGAAGGTGGTGATGAGCCAGCAGAATTTTTTGCAACCACACTGATGATGTAGTCGTTCTTCTCAAGTCGTATCTCTGTTTTGTGTTGAGGATCAGGGATCTCAGAAAGGGACTGTGTTTCCTCATCTGATGAATATGATACATTGTAGGAAAGTATTTTTCCATTGGCTTCATTATTGGGTAAAGGCTATGAAAAACGGAAAAATAAATTTGTTATAAAACTTGCAAAAAGTGGCCGTGACTAGTTAAAGCCATCAAGTCTAAACTGGATTCTACATTAACAATAAGGTAACACGAGAAATGATGAAGTTATAAACAGTGTGAAACATAGATTTAAAATCCATGGAGACCTGGCTAAATCAGGAAAATGATACTGCAAAAATACTACACTTACTGTAAATGGTAATAGTACACAGAAATTTAAAAATTAAGTAAATACAAAACAATATTTATCTTCATATCTTTCAGAAGCAAAATTCTAAAAAGTGGTCAGAAGCAATGCTCTACTTAACAAAAAATTATGGCATCATGTTTAATAATGTTTATCACTTTCTCATTTTAAAGTATTATATATGCCCATTATAGAAAACTTGGAACAATATATAAAAGATTTTTTAAAAAAGTAAAAATCTCCCATATTTCCACCTTTCAAATACTCTTACATTTTGATATTTCTTTCAAGTTGTTTTCTTTTTTTCCTTTTCTTTTCTTTTTTTTTTTTTTTTTGCGTTGGAGTCTCACTCTGTCACCCAGACTGGAGTGCAGTGGCCGCTCCCGGCCACCGCAGCCTCGACCTGCTGGGCTCCGGCGATCCTTCCGCCTCAGCCTTCCGAGTAGCCGGAATTACAGGCATGCGCTACCACGCCCAGTTGATTTTTTGATTTATTGTAGAGATTAGGTCTTGCTGCCCAGGCGGGTCTCGAACCCGTGGGCTCAGGCAATCCACTCACCTCAGCCTCCCAAAGGCACAGGATTACAGGCTGAGCCACTGAGCCTGCCTCAAGTTGTTTTCCAGGTGTGAATTTTATTAACATTGTTTAACCATAATTCACAGTTTTAGATTTCTTTTGCTTTTCCGTAATGTACATTTGTTTAAGTTACTACCGTACTATACATTATTTCATGTAGCATTTTTATAAGTTTGCTTGACTATTCCATAAATAAATGAAATTTAAGTTGTCCCCAATTTTTTACAATATACAATAAATATTTTGGTGAATCCTATTGTGCCACTTAGTTTTTTCCTTTTTCATAGTTAGGAGTAATTTTTAAAATTTGAATTCCCAAAAGTGGACTTACTGAACAAAAGAAAAAGAACACTCAAACTTTATTTATATGGCTAAACTGTTTTTCAAAACAATTGTCCCAACTTCTATGGCAACGTATGGGGCTAGATGATCCAGACTCAGGGTGATGTTAATGCTACTGAAAACACTGCTCCAGCAGAGGTCTCTGATGACGCTCTATGGCCTGCTCCAGTGGGCAGGTTTTAGTCCTAAGACTTGTGGGCTTCCTGTGATACTCAAGAACACTCACTTCTTGAAACATCCTGTTCCCCTGATTTCTGTAATTCTGCTTTTGTTGGTTGTCCTGCCCCTCTGGCCTTCCCAATCTACTCTGCTGGTTCTTTGCATGCTGCTATCACCTGGGCTCCAACTCTGGCCCATTTTTTGCCACGTATGCTCTCCAGCGTGAACCCATTTATGTGCTACTCAAAGCTATCCTCAGCTTCAACCTCTTCCCTGATCTCTAGAGCCTTACAGCAAACCACTGCCCACTGGACTTCACTCAGATTTCCCAGTGACACAGGTTTAAAAACTCACTATGTGCAAACAACATAATTTTCCACCAAAACATATTCTTCCTTGGCAAATGGCAGCATCATCAACCTAACCAATGAAGTCAGAATCGAATCACTTCAATATTTTTAGTACTTGGGCAAAAACTTCATCTAGTTAAAATAATAGTCCAAACTTTCTCTATATTGAAGTAATTTGTATCATCTTTGCTATGTTATCAAGAAATTAATGACAGAAAACTGGCAGTAGCCAGGGGATTTTCTAATCCAGAGTTAGAAACAGGTTGCAACAGTCAAATACAGACAATCTCAATGCAATGTAACTCACAATGAACTTGTACATAGACTGCACTTTACTCAGAGCTGTCCTGATAACAGTTCCTGTAAAAAATAAAATTATGTTTTGCTCTTAAAAAATTTTGGTTTTGTTCATTTAAGAGTAATGAAAAATGATGGATTGTTGACTTTGTATGGTGCACACAACACTGATCTTTATGAAATTCTTTGCTATGCAAGGCATCTGTCAACTTTTCATTCTTAGTCTTCACTTTTGCTGCCGAGCTCAGCTATACAGACTTGTACTTTCATTTGCTAATATGAATCCAATTTTATTTTACCATTTTAGAGACTACTAATGATTAAATGTAGGAGAAGGAATATATGTTTTATGTGGAGCGTTAAAAAAGATAAACTTATACTATTATAACGTGCTGGTTTTGTAAGAGAGATTGGTTAACAGCTAGATTAAATGAGAGACTATTCATCTGCTGGACTACTTTTTTCTTTTTAATCCAAGCATATGGTCTTTAGTAGCATCCTGTAATTTGTTAAAACAGTAACCTGAGGTTTTTCCCTCTTCTCAGTTGTCTGTGTACATTAGTCATTATATTTGAAAACAGACAAACAAAAACTATTCAATAGAGTTGTTTTATTTGTTTAAATTGACCTAGCATGGAACACCAAATCAAATTCTTGACATAGTTAAAAAAATTTATGTCTTACTTTCAATAACAAAATTCACTATTTAAAGGAATCTTGTTTTGACTGCTTGTATGCAATCTAAAGTAGAAAACAATTGTTCATGTTTTTGATATTCATAAGACAAATATTAAAACATATAACAAAAAAATACTCAAGTAGAGGATATCTAGTAAAATTGAATGCAATTCATATTGCATCTAAATATTTTACAAAACCATGTCAAATTTTATAATTGGTGTATTATAATACAATCGATTGAAGGGAAACAAATTAAACATGAAATATGTAAAAAGTCAGTTTCCCATTAATAAAAGAAACATGCAACAGATGCTGAGGATTCTAACTTGTAGTTTCTGGCTAAAGCAAGGGAGATGAAATTCATGAAATTCTCAGGTCTGTTATTGGCCTCATAAAAGTCAAACTAAAGAGTGGTCAGATCGAGACAGATGATCCTCACTAAAATGACTGGGGAATTAGAAGTGATGGGGAGGCAACCCCTTCAGGTCACCTCCCACTGTGGGAGCTTTTCTGTCCTCTCAATAAATTCTGTTTTCTCACCGCCGCCCCCCCTCCAAAACAGTGATTAGGAATTTGGGAGTTTAGGAACAGGTTAGATTCTCAGCAATGCTGCAAATAAAGCCAGCATGGGAAAACTCAGTTCCCTAATATCTAAAATACCATATGTAAGTGAAACAGTTTAGCGGTAATAAAGTTATTTAAATATTTAAGGGAAAATGAAATATTTACCTTCCAATAGATTATTAAATTTTTTCCATCAGAACTCCATTCTCTCCAAGTATCGGGTCCCTTTGAAGGACCTAGAAAGAAGATTGAAAAGTTACTATTTGAAGATACACATACAGAATGTATATGGTGCTTGACATTTTTGCTGGTATTTGCAATTCTCGATGAACATGAAGCAGCTCAGAGGCATTCCCTTAGAAAATGAAGTAATGAAAAAACTACGAACTTTTGAAAACACAAGGCCCCTTAGGATGGGTAAAAATCCCTCTCCAGGTCCTCCAGGGTTGGTTCCTGGGTGCCTCTGCCTTGCTATTCAGGTCACCTCCCTACTCAGGTCAGCTTTGGTTGGCCATGCACTGGCTTCCCAATGCAGATATGCCAAGGACATCTGCCTCAGGCTCTCTGTGTTTTCTGTGTCCTCTCTTCTTCTTCCTAGCACTCTCTTCTCTTAGATAAGCCATGTGGCTTGGTTCCTCAGCTCCCTCTTTAAAAAAAATCTCAGCTCAGTACAATCTTTTCTAACTACCCTATTTAAAACCAAAATTCCCTTCACTTCCCTTGCCTGCCAGTCTTCACTCCCTAGCCCCTTCCTATCCCTTATTTTCCTCTCTGGTACTCATCACCTTCTGACATACTGTTTGAAAGAAAGGTAGATTAGATAGATAGATAGATAGATAGATAGATAGATAGATAGATAGATAGATAGATAGATAGGGATAGATGATAGAGATTTTAAAAATTTATTTCTAATCCTGGATCCTATAAATTCCATAGGCAGCGATCTCTCTTTTATTCATTGCTGTATTTCTGATATCTAGAACAATTCCTGACACATAAAGGTTGAGCATCTTGTCTGAAATGCTTTTGGGACCAGAAGTGTTTTAGATTTTGCATTTAAAAAAAAATTTGGAATATCCGTATATATATAATGAGATATCTTGGGGATGGAACTCAATTTTAAACATGAAATTCATTTGTTTCATATACATCTTATACATACAGCCTGAAGTTAATTTTATGCAATATTTTAAATAACTTTGTACATGAAACAAAGTTTGTGTTAAATACGTACATATGGAATTTCCCACTTGTGGCATCATGTTGGTGCTCAAGAGGTTTCAGATCTTGAACATTTCAGATTTCAGAATTTCAGATTAGGGATGCTCAATGTTATGCATACTCAGTAAGTATTTGTTGAGTGAATTAATGCCTTCATCTAAATGAAGTACAACTAAAATTTTTCCTCTTGGCAACCAAAACTCATTAACTGAAGGCAAAAACTCTTGTGGTGGCCAGTCTCCAAAATGACCAATGATATCCATACCTTCTAATACTTATGCCCTTGTGTGGTCCCCTCCCACATTACACTGTATCAGGCTTGACCTGTGTGACCAATAGGATACAGCAGACATGATGGTATGTTATTTCTGATCTTTGTTCATTTACTAGCTCTAGGAAGAGCTAGCTGCCATGTCATGAGTACACTTGAGCAGGCCTATAAAGAAGCTCACATGGTGAGGAACTGAGGCCCCCTGCTAACAGCTACATGAGTGACCAATCTTGAAAGAGGATCCTCTACCCCCAGTCAAGCCCACAGTTCCCATCCTGATTGCATCCTCATGACAGAGTTCAAGCCAGAGACACCAGCTAAGCTACTCTTGGATTTCTGACTCATAGAAACTATGAGATAATAAATATTTGCTGTTTTAAGCCACTGATTTTTAGGGTAATTTGTCACACAACAATAGGTAACTCAAACACTCCCTCTGAACTAATGCATAGGTTTCATTTTTTTCATGACACAAATAATTCTTAGACATACTGCAAAGTGCCCTCATCTCTATTCTTCACATATCTTCATGAGGAGAGGGAAAATCTGGATTAACATCAATCATTTTTTGTTTTACTGTTTGTTAATGGTTTTTGGAGGAAGTTTTATATTTTCTGTATTATGTGATACAAATAAAGCTTTTGCTATCTTTTGTGAAATGATTCCTGAAAATCTTATCTATTTCTAAGTTTTTGTTTGTTTTTTTATTTTTTATAAAGCTTATATCTGATTATTCAAGAATAGAATACCATTCTGTCTTTGGAAATTATAGTATTCAGAAAACCAGTTACCTGATTTTACACCTATTTTGACCTATGTACTATAGAAATTGAAGTTTATTTTTACATAAAATAAAGCCACATCATTTCTCAGGCCTAGGTTACAAATAAAAATTCTAACAAATTCTCTTTTTAAATAATTGTTTTAAATTTTAAAAAGGGCAATCTGAATTGAAGATACAATTAAAATTCTAGGAGGAAAAGGGAAAAAAAAATGGGAGAAAAGTCACTCCATAATCTTACCACAGTTTCAAGTTTGTTTTCTTAAGCATTGCTGTTGTATAATTGTAATCATACTGCAGATAGGGGAGCCCACTCCTTTCACACAATTTATGCCACACATTTTTCCATATTATGAGAACATTTTAAAAACCATCGTTTAAGATGTCTGTGCAATATTTTATTAGCACATATTACACAATGTATCTAAGCATCCCCCTACTTTTGAGGACTTTGATGACATCCTCTTTAAAAAGCTGTAAAAAGCTTCTGAGCTCCCAATGACATTAGAAAGAAGCTTCTCAGATTATATTTTGCAGTTATGATTGATTTTTCTAGAAATCAGTAAATTTCCAAATGAATAGTTAGATGCATGTCATTTGTTTTAGACTTACCACAAACCACAAGATGGTAGAGTATAAAAGTCAATGCAAATATTTAAAATGAATTAAAAAGTCATGTTTTGACTTAAATTTACCAGTTACAACTTGCTTCCATTGTGGCACTTCACAATCTAAAAAATTCAGGATACACAATAAAAATTAGTCACAAATAATTTCGTCAACTTACTGGCTTCTGTGGTTACATGCTGTTTTTTATTGCTCCATTTGCTCCATTTCCAGAAAGTTTCAGTAGTACAGCGAATCCGAAAAGTATATACTGTATATGGATTTAACTTGCCCACGGCAACAAGATAATTTGAATTTTCTACTCCTTTGATTGTGACATTTCTCTATTAGAAAACAAATAAACATGTGTGTATAGATATGTATATACCACATGTATGAATACATGTATACATACATATGTCCATCATTTTTTATAAGACTTCACATTTGTAACATAAATCAACTAAATGTTCACATAAGTTTTCGCCTATATAACACCAAAAGGAGTTTATTCACTATAATAGTTTAATTCTTACATACATACCAATTCAGTGAAATTATGCTCTGTAATACCAATTTTAAAATTGGGGTGTCTTTTTAATCCAAATATTGACTCCAATAATGGTCAACTAAATCATGCAATAGATGATATTATTTTGACAGTCAGTCAAAGGCTAATGCTGATGCAATACACCTTAACATAATTTAGTAATTTGGAATGACCTTGAGGATTAAGTATATTATTCAGATGATAGAGGGAAGTTCCATGGAGGCAGGAATCATCCTTGATGCATCTTTGTTAATATAACACTTTGAACTTCTAGTATAGTGCTGTAGTAAATACTCAACAGATACTTAAACTATATCAATAAAATTAAAATGAAGTAATTCTAAGCAAATCTGAATATTTGCATATCTCACAAAAGCTTCTGAGCTCCCAATGACATTAGAAAGAAGCTTCTCAGATTATATTTTGCAGTTATGATTGATTTTTCTAGAAATCAGTAACTTTCCAAATGAATAGTTAGATGCATGTCATTTGTTTTAGACTTACCACAAACCACAAGATGGTAGAGTATAAAAGTCAATGCAAATATTTAAAATGAATTAAAAAGTCATGTTTTGACTTAAATTTACCAGTTACAACTTGCTTCCATTGTGGCACTTCACAATCTAAAAAATCACTTCTGTGCTCTGGTGCCAATAAATGCATTAACTGAAGCTAAAGGTCACAGCAAAAATTACTCATTCATTCATAACTTGCCTAGCACCAGTCAAGTGCCAGGTACTATACTGCATCTGTGAACATTCTGAGTAGTAAAAGTCAAGTTTATATTCTATAATATCCACTATTCCAATTGACTTTCAAATGATAAATATAATGCTATTATTACATTAATATATGATGACTTTCTGGTTCTTAGTAAGTCTCAACAATAAACTGAGGACTTAACCATATTAATTTACTTAATTCTTTCTGAGAACTGTTTTATCCAAAATAGTCACAAAGGAAGTTTATGTAAAATCTTACTCACCGATTCTTGTACTGAATTAGTTTTGTTAATTTCAATTTGACATAAAAGACTAATCTTTGTAAAGTTGCCTGATAAATGCCAAGAAAGCATAACAGCTGTTGAATTAATATCCTTCACTTTGAATGAAACAGGAGTATGGGGAGAAACTGTAAATATAATTTACAAAGATTAATTACTTTAAACATTTATTTAAAGGGAAAAAGCTATCTTCTAATGCCAAACAAGAACGAAAGAAAACAAAAACCAAGGAAGTATTATTAGTGCTGATAAAAAATATACTACCCAATATTTGTTGAATCTGCAAATCTCTTTTTTACTGTTGACACCACACCAACATTTTTAAAGAACCAATCATGTTCAAGGCTTTTCAATGAGTGTTAGGAATACTAAAAGGTGGTAAGACCCAAGTCCCTACCTTCAAGAAGCTCTAATTTACTTGGGGAATGAAAAAAATAAGACAAAACAATTAATAATAATATAAATGCTAAGTTTTAAATGTATGGTACAGATATTAACTGCCACAGAAATTTAAATATAAGCATGGCAGAGGACGTCTCACAGTGAAGATGGAGCTTAAGATGAACTTTGAAGAAAGAATCAGACCAATACTGGCAAAAAAGCACACGTAGAAAAGAAAGTTAGGTGGCGATGTAGACAAAAACAAAGGTATAGTAAAGCAAACTACACATTACACTGGTGATAGTACACATGCTAACTTCAGTGGTGGGAAAGAATCATGTGGGAAATAAGACTGAGATGGCAGAGGGCAGGGAAGTCCATACAAACACTACCACTCAAGCACAAAATGTAGTTGCCATGACCCTAGGAAAAATCAGGAAATAACAAAGATGACAGGAAGTAATAATTGATAAAAGTGACTTGTCTTTACAAACAAGGCAACCTCTATAATCACACGCCATTATGATATCGCATTTGGCTTAAGCCCTTTCTCCCTTTCCTGTGTTTTAAGGGAAGGCCTCTATGCCATTGCTTTGTGTGCTGCAGAGCCTTGCATGGAGTTAATGTACATGTACTGACCATTGGAATGAATGCCAAAAAGATCAACCACGCATTATTTGTTTTGCGCCACATATTAATATGGTTGATAAAAATTCAGAAATCAACGGCAATAAAAGAAAATAAACTACTGGCGCATATAACAACTTGATGGCTCTCTAGGACATTACTGTTAATAAAAACTGCCAACCTCTTAATTGATATATTGTATGATTTCATTTATATAACATTCTCAAAATGACAAACAATAGAGAAGAAGAATAGATTAGCTGTTGCCAAGGGATAGGGATGAGAGAGAATGTGTGTGTGTGTGTGTGTGTGTGTGTGTGTGTGTGTGTGTGTGTGTGTGTGGTGGGGGGGTTGCATGGTGGGGGAGAGGGATGCTGAGGGGATAACGTGAGGAAGTTTCTTCCTGGTAAGGGCAGTTCTACATCTTGATTTTGGGGGTGATTATCTGAACCTAGAATGGGATACATTGCATAGAACTGCACACACACACACAAACTACAAATAAACACAAATGAAAACTGAACAAGATCAGCAGTCTACTTAAACAGTCTATTGTACTGGTGTCAGTTTCCTGGTTTTGATACTGTACTGCAGTTATATAAGATGACACCACTGGGGAAAGCCAGGGGATGATCCATAAGGTTCTAATTTATTATTTTTGTGCCTACTGGTGATTCTATAATGACTTCAAAATAAGGTTTAAAAAATAGGGCAAAAAAGATTTCAGAAATCAAAAACAATCAGACAGAGCTACTTATTATTTCTTTGTAAATGACTAATTCAAATTTTTATTTAAATTAAGTAAAATAGTAAAAATTGAAATGATCCATTTTAAAGTCTTTAAACTAAAATGTACAAAATTAACATTAAGTAGTTATAAAGAAAATAATGAGTAAAAAGTAATCCTTAGGAAAATTTTTCATTAATCTCAAGACACTTAACCACTTTTGAATAACATTATTTTTAGGACACTGGTTTACATAACAGCTTACCTCTTTCAGTTATGTTAACTAAAATTGTTGATTCTGATCGACCCAGAGGATTGCGAGCATTCAGAGTAAAATTATATATTTCTTGATTTGGAAGCATTTGAAAGAATAACTGATAGCTTTCATTCATAGGTGCTTCAACTCTTTGAAACCTAACATGTTTTCCTGAAAAACTGTTAATTAGAGAAAAAATAATTTCAAAATGGCATGAGATAAATATTGATGGAAAAAATGAGCAAATTTCTAATAATTTCTAATTACAGACATATTACATACTCAGAAAATATATATGATGCAGAAAATAGAAGAAAATAATAAGCTATAAGCCTATTACCCAGAAACAGATCTCAGTCCATATCTAAAGGTTCTTCCTTCTAAGGCTTTTTGAAGGAAAATGCATGAAATTGAGTCGACATGGGGTTAAACTGCAGTATTTATAAGAATATAATGTTATTGAGCATATCTGGCTTTATATCTTGTTTGTAAATGATCTAGTGCATCTCCCTGTGCCATTTAACATGTACTGCCAACATACATCTTGCTATCTGACGTCCTTGCCCAGTTATCGTTACCTTTCATATAAAGTGTAATTTGTATTGCGTTCGCCCACCAATGATGTCGACCGTCCTGGATCCCAAGTACATATAATCTCTTTTAAATCATGTGTCTCACAATTCAGTTTTTGAGGAATATCGGGTGGATCTAATAGAAAAAAGAAAAAAATGGAGGTACTTATGATGACATATATTTTCCCTGAAAATGTAATGCTTTAGAAATGTTAACATTTTGTACCATTTATATGCTGGCAAATAGAAAATGCAATTTAAAAACAAAGTCATTTTTAATAACACCAGAAAACATCAAGCACTAGGAATACATTTACCAAAAGATAGAAAAACCTCAAAGAAGACATAAGTAAATGGAGGGATATATCATAACCAGGGTTTGGAAGACTCAATATTGTAAGAATAAAAATCTTCCTGAATTGATCTATAGATTCAATGTTATCCCAAACAAAATTCCAGCAGATTTCATATGTGTGTGTGTGTGTGTGTGTGTGTGTGTATGTGTGTGTGTGTGTGAGTGTTTGTATGTAGGGGGAAAATAACAAAATGAGTCTAACACTCTTTTCAATCTTTTCAGTCAATGGTGGGCTAACAGGATATCCATAAACAAAAGGAAATAAATAAATCTTGATCACCATAACCTGTTCTTATATGTTTCTAAAGAATTCCCTCTGAAGGGAGATGTGATTGCTGCCTGAAAAATATTGAACAGTGTTTCAGCCTCCAAATGTTATAAATGAAGGTTAGATGATGAATTAAATAGCTTTGTTCTAGTACTATGATAAGAGATTAGAACTTTACCTAAAATAATAGAAATAAGCCGGGCTCGGTGGCTCAGCCTATAATCCTGCGCCTTTGGGAGGCTGAGGTGAGTGGATCGCCTGAGCCCGCGGGTTCGAGACCCGCCTGGGCAGGCGAGACCTCATCTCTACAATAAATCAAAAAATCAGCCGGGCGTGGTAGCGCATGCCTGTAATTCTGGCTACTTGGAAGGCTGAGGTGGAAGGATCGCCGGAGCCCAGCAGGTGGAGGCTGCGGTGGCCGGGAGCGGCCACTGCACTCCAGGCTGGGCGACAGAGTGAGACTCCAACTCAAAAAAATAAAATAAAATAACAGAAATAAAACCAGTGCATATTCTCATCTTTTAAGTTTTAATTTTTTCTTTCATATTTTTAAGTGAATAGCTCACTTTTGATAGTGCTTAGGAAGCAATTCACTACACATACCACTGGTTCTCAACTTAGACTCCAGGACCATTTGTGAGAAACGTTGCAAGTAATTTCCTAAAATTCCATTAAAAAATAAAATTGAACATAACTTCACCTTCACTAATCCAAAATGCATTACTAGGAGACAAAAAGAGAATAAGATTACAGTCATCAAGCTGAGAAATGCACCTAATCGTAGTTATTCCCTTGGAAATGTATCAGTATCTGCATGTAGTTTATCACAAGTTATTGTAGAAGTAAAAAAGAGACTGATAGTTGCTGATCTAGACCACAGCTGAGAAAACATAAACAAGTAAAAGAAAAGTCACTAGGCAATCAAAAGAAATGTCATAACATCCACTCAATCCATCTCACACACTTTATTCATGAGACGCTTAGACCAAACTCAGATTCTTTTAATTCAGGATGCAGAGATGAAGGAACTTATTGCTTAAGGTGAAGCCATCGGTGACACCAAAACATTCAGTAGCCACAATGAAGGAGGCAGAAACCTCTAAAATCAAGACCTAAAAACTCTAAATGCATAATTATCTGTGGACATCCAACACAAGCCAGGTGGGCAGAGTAGTCCACAAGAACAACTTTTGGAAATATTATGGAATTTCACACCATAGGAGTAGTCATGTTACTAAACATGCCTCTGAGTAAGTTGAAAAGAATCAACATATACATTATATACAGAATAAGGTGAGAAAGTTTCCTTCTCATCCATGTCTTCTAGCCATCCTATTCTTCTTGAATATATTATTTAAAAGTTGGGGAAGATACATTATACTATTGAAAGGTTGTGTGTAAAATCATTACTATTTCTTTAATCTATGTACTTAAAAAGGCATACTTTAATTAGGAAATTAATTTATATAAAATAATTTCTAAACAATGTAGGATTAATAAATATTATATACTAACTATCCTTGACTTAAAACTTTTAGGTAAAAATTTAAACTAAACATTGGCAGCTGGATATTTCAAATCTTAGTATAAAACGTACAAGTTTTATAGAGACAGGCATGGAGGAAACAAGCTTAGGATTCATTTTAAAACAAGCAAAAATTCAAGTGCTTGTGTATACCATTTATATTAAAGAATAAAAAAATGAGAAAGAAACAGAATTACCCCCATCCTAGGAAAAGAAGGCTTTCAAGAAAGATCAAAACAGGTTAATAGGAACTCTCTCTTTAAAATAATATACTTACATCCAGCAAAAACAACTGCTCCATCTACGTTACTTTGTGTTGAAAATACAATATTTGTTCCACTACTTGCAGAAGCAGAAATATTATAGATCTTGATTGCAACATTTTCCCCATCAAGATGGATAAACGGAGCATTTGTACCACCAACAAGTGCTGTTGACACTTTTTCTTGACTCACACAACAAAATATCATATCTGAGCCTACAAGTATCACTCTGTCTTGAGGAAAAACGTGAAGCTGAGAAACAGGAGTCCCTAGAAAGAGCAAAAGGATTTAGACATATTTTAGAAGAAATCTTTTACATAAAATAGTTGCCATACTAAGACTTTTTTTTTTTCATAAGATGGCTTAAAATAGCTCAGTATGTACAACACATACTGTTAGGCACTTTGCAATAATGGTGGCCCAAAGATAATGTATGTTTCCCAAGTTGCAAAGAAGCTACATACATACAATATTTTTTTTAAGTATGTAGTTTTATTTAACTATAAAGGAGTAATAGTGAGGGAGCAGAAACAGATCATAGGTCAATGTCTAAGGTCACGGGTTAATGTCTCAAGAAGTCTAATGGCTCAAACGTAGGGGCTCATATACACATGTAGACAATTCACATACACACAAACCACTAATTAAATAATTCTATTCCTTTTATTCTATGTATTTAGGGCAGATTTCTTACGTTTCATCAGCCTAAATATACGTTCATGTCCTCCACATCCTAAAAGCAGTTTTCTTTAATCCAGTCCTCCCTTCCTCTGACCCATTTCTCGATAGTGTCACCAGAGTGGTCTATTTACAGTGTTTACCAGTTTTTTTCAGAACTTCATTTTGCTGTCAACAATGTTTCAACTCCTCTCCCACACTGCCAAAATTCTCTCTACATATGAGTTTTATTTAATGTGCATGCTTGCTGATCCCAATGTTCCCTGCAATACCTCTGCAGCCTCTGGGGGTCTGTTCTGTGGCCAGAAATTGGGGACCATGCTTTAAAAATAGATTTGATCTTATTATCATTGATACACAACTTTTAATTGCTCTTCAATGCCCACTATAGTGATTTTTAAACCTGAATGTTTATCTAATTACTCAGATTCCTGAAGTCTAACTCAGACTTCTTACATTGAAATCTCCAGGGATGGTTGACTTGGAAGCTCCCCCAGGTGATTCTCATGCAGCCAAATGTGGTTCTGAAACCCAAAAGCTTAAACTAACTTTACTGTTAAGTAAAACTAATCTAATTTATTTGAAACAAACATTTTTTTAAATGTAAACTTACAAAAAATATTTTTCAGTGGGCTCCAGTCACTCCACACTTTGCGACCAAAAAAATGAAGACTGTCAATGTAGCATCTAATTCCCACATAATGAACAGCACATTCCAAGGGCATGTCTGAGACCCAACTCCAGTGATGAACTGTATCTTTACCATTCAGAGTTGTGTTGTGGGTCACCTAAAAATGAACACAAATGCAAAATTATATTTTCAAGTAGTGATACGTTTTGCTTTCCTTTAGAATTAAAACATGCAGCAGACTACACAAGCACTAGCTAAGTTAAAGGTTTGTCCTATTGTGAAACTATCTTAGTTCCCATGAGGCATAACAGAAGAGTTAGAGCAACAATAATCATGTTTCGTTTATGTTTACTTCTTCAACTTTAAGCCCTAATGTATTATCATATAAGTTGTTGCTTTTCATCAAAACATTCAGTACAGTGCACAAGAAAATACAGGTCGAGTACTCCTTGGGACCAAAGTGTTTTGGATTTTTTTTTGATTTTGGAAGATTTGCATTATACACTTCTCAGCTGAGGATCTCTAATATGAAAATCCCAAATCCAAAATACTCCAATGGGCATTTCCTTTGAATGTTGGCACTAAAAAGTTTCATATTTTGGAGTACTTCAGATTTTGAATTTTGAGATTAGAGACTCTCAACCTGTATACCATTGCCTAATGATCTCCATCTTTCATGGAAAAAAAATAATTAATGGGTATGAGTTCTCAAGAGTTGAAGTCAAGGAGAAGAGCAGCATTTCAATAAAATAGCTTTAGACTAGATTTGTTTTTTATACAAGAATTCTGTATTTCAAATTATATTTTTAAATATGCAACTTATAATAACATAAAATATTAATGCCAACTGTGAGAAATGGGCAGGATTTCAATATTGAGACTTTCTAAAAGACAACTTGGGACTTCTAGTTAAAGACAATAGATTTAACAAATGTATGTCCTTCTCTGTTACCTCCTGAAACCCCTTTAAAACAAGAGTAAACCCAGTTTTTTTTTAAAGGTGTAATGCACAAAGACAAAATATAGGAAATGACACAACACCTCTTAAATTCTGAAGTGGGAAAGCAGATGGATGGTGGAAACTGACTTATGAGACCTAAGAAAACTAAATCTTAAGCATTCAGTGGGAAATTCAGGAAATCACCTGGTTTCCACCACAAAAATGCCAAAGGGATCAGCAAGTGGTTATACTAGGTTTCTCTAGGAATAAAAGGCGGGTTCAAAATAGGAACACTGTTTAAAAGCTGCTGAAGATAAGTCAGATACCCACAACTCCTCTCACATTCCATGCTAACAATCCTTGTTCTTGTGGGCAGAAGAATAGAGATTTAATTTTTTTGTTTTTGAATTGGAATCTCACTCTTTGCCACCTAGGCTGGAGTGCAGTGGCACATTCACGGTCACCGCAGCCTCGACCTGCTGGGCTCAGGTGATCCTTCTGCCTCAGTCTTCCAAGTAGCTGGAACTACAGATGCATGCCACCACGCCTGGCTAGTTTTTGTGAATTATTGTAGAGAGGAGGTCTCACTAAGTTGTCCAGGCTGGTCTTGAACCCCCGGGCTCAGGCAATCCTCTCGCCTCTGTCTCTCAAAGTGCTGGGATTACAGGCTGAGCCACCATGCCCAGTCTTTTGTGGGATTTTATAAATTTGTTTTTCATTGGGAACTGTTGCTGGAGACTTTTTTTCCTTTGGAGGTCTCATATTTTCTAGACTTCTTATGTTTCCCTGTGTCTTTACATTGATATCAGCACATTTGGTGAAATACTCACTTCATCCAATTTTTAAAATTTGCTTTCATAGGGAAAGACATTTTTCTTGAAGATATATCTATAGTATTGCTTGGGTTGGACACTTTGGCTTAGATTTTGGGTACATGCAGTAATGAAGTCTCTCTATAATTTCTTTAGCTGTAAACAGCAACAGTGGCATCTGTTATTTTCCTTGGTGGTTTAGGGTGCAGTTACAGGCAGAAGCTGTGGTGAAGGTTGACTGGACACAAGTGGGCCAGTCTTTGGGCCCCAGTGATGGCAGCAGTGGGCTGAATGTGTCTGTCCTTGGGACTCAGGGTGAGGTTCACCGGTACCAGTGTTAGCAGGTCCAGGTGGGCCAATTCTTGAGCACTCAGGTGACTTGCTCAGATGCTGGCAGCAGTAGGCTGGGCAGCTGGGCAGATTATTGGGCCCTTGGGCAGCAGGCATAGTGTAGGCAATGGCAAGGGCAGATTATTGGGCCCTTAGGCAGCAGGCATAGTGTAGGCAATGGCAGAAGCAACGACAAGACAACCCTCTGGGTTTTGAATGGCATTTGGTGGTGTTGGTGGTGGCTTCAGTGTGCTGGGTAGACCAATCTCCACGGGCAGCATGTACAGGTAGGTGCCAGCTTTGGTGGTAGCAGTAACCCAGCCTCAGATTCCCAGGAAGAGTGCTAATGGTGGTGGACTGGGCTAAGTAATCCCCAGGACCCCAGACAGTGTGCTATGGCAGTGGTGAGTGGGGGCAAAGGCATACTGGGTGGGCTTGTCTTCAGGCCTCCTGGTGATGTGTAGGCACTGACTGCGATAGGCAGGGGCACAGTGATCCCCAGGCCTCTAGTGGAATACTTGGGTGGGGAGTGGCAGAGGTACTGCGGTTCTGCTATTGGGGATGGAGAGGCTGCTTTCAATGGCAGCCATAGGCAGGCAGGTGGGGAACATGTTAGTCGCTTGTGTTTTAGCCACACGGCGGCAGCCTGTGCTTCACTTGCACTTCAGCCCTGGTGGTGGCAGACCGCGACCTACTAGCACTTCGGCCTCAGCAGCAGCAGCCCACAATAATGGCAGCTGCAGGCAAAAGACTCTGTCTTGGCATATGAAAATGTGCAGTTTTGCTGTTGGTGGCAGCAGGTGGTCTGCCCCTTGGCCTCAGTAGCAACAGCCTGCTGCAGCAATAGCTGTGAGCAGGGAATGTCAGTGGGGATCCAGGGATGTGAGATGCAGGTGCTGTTGGGCCCCGGGGCAGGGTATGGTCCGTTGGGGCCTGGAGTCAAAATGGCACGCTACTTTTAGGACTCAGAATGTATGAGATCCCCAGTGAGTTCCTTCTCTGGAGCAGTGCCATCATGTCTCTGGGCAACTCCCTGTGTCAGTTTCATGGCTGAGATAGTTGGGGGCCTCCCCTGTGGCTAGGGTTGCAGTCCATGGTGGGAATGTGGACCACTGAAGGTCTCTCTTACCCTGTCCCCACACTGAGGAGTCCCTCTAGGCTCTCAGTCAAAACCAGTCAAGCAGGCTGTCTTGTTTCCCTCCCTTTCCCTGCTTTAGGCACTTCCTGTCACTTCTCTGTTGGATTCCAGTGTTCTCTCTGAGACAATCTATTTAATGTATGATGATCTACTCATTACTTTGGTTCTTTTTTGTGAAGAAGGTGAGTGTGAGATACCTCTAGTCAGCCATCTTGAAGCCCTTCTCCCAATTTTTACCTTTTATACCATATTTGTAATGTACATTTTCTATGTTTAGATTCACAAATACTACTATGTTACCACTGCCTCCAGTACTTAGTAATATGCTATAGAGGTTTGTAGCCTAGGAGCAATAGGTTACACTATTCAGATTTGTATAAATATACTCTAAGATGTTTGCATGGTGACAAATTTGCCTAGTGATGCATTTCTCAGTATGCATACCCATCATTTAGCAACACATGATTGTACAGTTTTTAGAACAGTGTAAGGAAAAGCAGTAGCACTCAATATCTGCTAACTACAGTTAGAACTCTCAATATTTTAGGAAATAGGCTGCTAAAATACATAGGTTATCAAAAAGGAATACTTAGGTTATGAAAAAGGAAGAATTAAAAAGTAACTATGAAATACAGAATCATCCTATTTATTATCTTTAGTATCTTATCTATGTACTTAGGCAAATAAGCTATAAAATCATGAGATGGTCTTCTAATTCTTAAATCTATAACTAAGCATATTCCAAATCTATCAAGGAAAAAAAGAGTAAAAGACTAAAAGGAAGAATGTCCATGTACCACTATCAAACTTTTCATAACTATTCCTTATTACTCCTAGAATAAGAGCAAACTAAATGTAGATCATAAGAAAGCCATTCATAAATGGGATGTAAAAAATAAGAGAAAGAAAAAAGCATATACTATTTGTAAGAATATTATTTCAGGTTCTGATAAATTCAATGTAGATTTCTACAAAATTTCTCAAAATTACTATGGCTAAATATGTTTCAAAACACATTTTATGTACAATATTGGACAAACATAAAATACACTAAATTAAACTTACATCTGCAATTCATTTATGTAAAGACATGCATATAAAAAAGGCTAGACTACACAAAGATAATGCTTACTGTGTCCAAGTGGTAGAAACATGGGTTATTCCTCTCTTAATTTCCTAAACTTTCTATAATGGTTACATATCATTCTAATAATGAGTAATTTTTGAACCACAGCATATGTTTTTTTAAATAACTCTGACAGATATCTGTTCTACTTCCTGAATAATCCAAAAGTTCACTGGTACCACCTAAACCTTTTTTAAAAAAATTATTGTTTCTTTAATGTTACAGGAAACAAAATCTATTTTTATTCAAACTTACTAATTTTACAAGCTCCATACTCTGTTTACGTAGAATTTTAATTTCCCAGATGACATTTAAGTGACGTGGAAAAACAGAACCCTTGTCATTCCACTTTAGGTATAATGTAGAGGTTGAGAAATCAGCAGACAAATTCAAGATCTCTGGAGTATCTGGAATTAAGGCTTAATGAAAGAAACAAAAGAGAAAACTTTGTAAAATAAGCAATGTTTTTTCTACTGTAATTCATTAATCAACTATCTTTAAAGTCTATTCCTTAAAAAAATTATCAAAATTTAAAAGCAAACTCCCAAACCTATTACTGAAATAAAGTATATGTGTGTACATACACATCTACACATATACATACACATGTATGTATGTATATTTATATAGGTAACTCCCAATGCTTAATCAGGCAAATTTGAGAAAATTATTTATGAGCTGGCTGCTTCAAATCCATAACATATTTTCTAATACAAACAAACAGCATCTAGGTTTCCACAATACTCCAGTATCATTTAGTCTTAGACCAACAAGTAGGCAACATCAGAGGGAAGGAAACAAGCTTCCTTTGCATGGCTATAAACTAGGCCCAAGAAAATGACAAAACAAGGAAAACTTGCTTTGGTAAAGGTTTCCATTTGTTTTCTTCAGTCTTCTCATTCATCTCCTAGTGTCAGACCCCCTCATGCTGAGAGATGTCACCCACTTGAGTAATGGTAGGGGCTATTACTGGTTACAGATATTAAGCAGTAGCAAGATAGTTGCAATGACTAAGGTATCCAGTTAGGAACCCAAAGGCTACAATGCAGCAGAAGCAGCAGAATATAAGAAGTATGACAGAAAGGTTTGTTTAGTAGTGGTACGCAAACAACACAGTCTGCAGAGGACTGAGAGAGGAGATAAGGTGATCACTTAGGAGACCTCTGGAGAAACTCTGGCTAGAGTAGTAAGAATACAGATTATGATGCCATATGTGGAAAAGAAGGAATAAAATGCCATGGATAATTCAAAGAAATGATTGTGACTCAAAGAAATGAAAGATTAGTTCTAATGATACAGAAAAATGACCAATATTCTCTCAAGTTTCTAGTTCAGAAAGCAGCAAGAAAACAAGGAATTAGGCTCCACTGTGAAGAGATACAGAAAGCTGGCTGCCAGGCGATGAAGAGACCATGGACAGTTCTGCAGACAGCTGAGTGAGAATAGTACTAAGTCAGAATCATGGGTGCAGGCTCAAGAGGAACTCACTGAGTATAGGAAAAAACTAGGATACTAGGAAAAAAAGGTAGCAGAAAGAGTACTATACCCCTGAAATTCATTATATCTCCCTACCTATAAAGGATGGGGAAATCACTGAAAATTTTGGATCAGTGGAAAACAAAGAAGGTGTAAACATGTTCCATTCTATGAACAGGCTTTTATGTTTGAGGGGGGCAGAGAGATTTGGACTTTCTTGCATGTTTCTTCCTCAAATGACAGCAAAGTGAGAATGAGTTACAAGAAATCCTTTCTTGCCTCATTTCTATCCATGAAGCTAAAGGACCAACTAAATAAAGTCATGATAAAAATTGTACAGGGGTGGGAAAGCTGAATATGCTAAATAACAAAAAGGGCAGAACAAGCCAATATAAATTAACCTTGGCTCTTAAAAATAACTTCCTAAAAATAGATTTAACTAAAATTTGCTAAACACAGTGCTCTCAGTGCTCTACACTGGATTCATGTAAAATGTTTAGGGTTGTACAGGACGCAGAACAAGTGGATTTGCAGTCTAAACTACACCACAAGTCGACAGTTATACAGCTACATAAGGACAGGAGAGGATGCTTTACAGAGGTTTTAATTAGGAAGCTGCATGTAAAAAAGGAAAATGCAGATGAACAAGAGGCAAAAAGTTGATTTAGAGCCAAGAGAAAATTCAAGGTGCCAGTGCAACCGGAAAAGAGCAGGAAGGCTCCAAGACCATGGTACTTCCTTCAAATGATTCAAGATGTCATGATGTAGTGACTTAAAAATTCTGAAACATGAGAGCCATTTTACTAAGGCAACACTCATCTTTAAAATGCTTCCTTCCCTGGAAAGTCCACATAATTTACATTTTGTTTAAATAGCAATGGGCAACTCTTCAAAACACAAGTCATATCCAATACTTCAAGCTAAAGACATAATTACAAATGAAAGGATTTTTAAAAGCCACTATTCCCTTTCTTTTCATCACAGCATACATGAAAGCTTCCCCTAAACTCCCAGGAACTGCCATCCGCACTTCTTTGAGACCAAAACAGACATCTGAGGACAATGTAAACTTGCTTTCCAGAAACTCAGAAGTCTTCAGATAGGGAAGGAACTTAATGAAAGTCTTGCTTGCTTATTTTTTTTAAAGCTAGCGCAGCTTTACACATAACCTACAAGCTCTTACTTCTTTAGAACACCAGGAGACAGGCATATGTATGTCTAGAATTTTGTGCAGGACCCATATTATTTATTCTGCCTCAGAGTGATCTAGATTTCCAGGTTATTTTGAGAAACTTAGATATTAAAAGTCTTACAAACACTTATTTTGTGCTTGCCCATGAAAGTACAAACCCTAGTGTGTGTGTGTGTGTGTGTGTGTGTGTGTATGTGTACATAAAACCTAGTTTACTTTATATTACACTTTTGAAAATATCTTTAGATCTGGAAAAAACTTAATTTTCATTAATTTTCATACTTTTTAATAGCAAATTGTCAAAAGAACCCAGATCCTCTCAAGAATGACCATACTACCATTTCAGAGCTTCTCTTTCACGCAGTAGGTACTCAAAAATTTGCTGATGCATTCACCTCCTTTTCTTACAAATTTACCCAATTTGCTTTTCAATTTCCTTTTCTTATTTTCTTACTGTTATTCTAATCATGATCAGAGCCATTATTATTTTAGAATACTACCAATATATTTTACAACCAAGAATTACTGACTGACTGAGTCACCTAGAGTCTGTCTTGATTTGCCTTTCTGATTCTATCTAATACTGTCATTTTAAGTAGCTTCCCAGATAAGACCTTTGGGTCGCTACTGAAATCATCAGACAACACAAACTGGCTCTCTTCCACATTCCTGAACATTTTTAAAATGTGGAATAAAATTCTGCTAGATTCCTCATATTTACTACAAAATAATTCCAGATGGGTGAAAGATTTAAGTCAAACATGATAGAACCAAAATCTTACAAAAATAGCAAGAGATTCTATTGTGTAAAAATAGAAACTTATGGTATGAAAAATATCACATTTTATATAATTATAAACTCAGAAAAATAAGTGCAGCACATATGACAGAGTTAATAACCATAACATAAAGAAAGCTCTTGTAAACTGATACAGAAAGTGATGACATTTTTCAAGCCACAATATTAAAAATTATAAGATTTATAAAGATGACTGGAAATCTATCTATTATATGTCTTCCGTTAAGCAAGTTATAAAGTAGTGTGAACACTACTGCTTAAATGTATAAGCACAGAAAATATATTTAAGTGATAATAGTAATTCTGAGTACTGGAATTATTGCTGATCTACATAAAATATCACCACTCAGCTACAGAAAGAAAATAACAAATATGGTCCCCCCTTATTATCCTGAAAAACAGTCCTAAATAGCACTTTCCACAGACAACACTCCCTCTAGAAAACAGGACAGACATTATGTTCCTGTACAGCATGCTTCATAATCCTTTCAAAATCTCTGTGGTCTCAGATAAATGACCCCAAACATGTATCTTGTCTATAGAATGGACACATTGCCAAATCACTGATATTTTTTCCTCCCTTGCTTCAAAGTCAGTTATTACGATGCTGTCCCATCACAGAGCTGTCAGAAGCGTACAAACCTGCCTGCCCCACCTTTAAGAGTCAAAACTATTTCGAGTTCTTAAAGTCTTCTTGTACAGCAAAATTTCCACCTCCATCAGCCTGGGTTTATTTTGTGCTTCCAATCTATTTGTGGCATGTGTCTTCAACATTCAATCAATAAACGTGTAACATATGCCTGCTACGTGCACAACACTGTGCTAGGTGTTCCGTGTAGTCAGTCAGTCAGAGACTGACTGTCTCTGACCTCATGGAATCTATTTTCTTAAGGAGGAGACACACAGTAGACACCTAACTGCACACTGGATTATAAATTCAATGGTGACAAATGCCACAAAGGAGAAGGACAGCTTGCCTAAAGGTATACTGAGAAAGGAACAAAATCTCCTCTGGGAGAGGGTGGCCAAAGAACAAAGGGCAGCTGAAAAATTCTGGAGGGCAAGCAGGAATCAAGGAAGCCAAGGGGACTAAAGAAAGAGAATCCAACTGGGCCTTGAATTTTGAGTTGTCCATTTTGATTGACTAGAAGAAGACAAGTTTGCTTCCTTCCTGATCTACACCCTACAATGCATAGTAAGATTGCAGGGCAAACGAAAGTATTCATATAACATATGAAATTCAAAGAATGGTGGTAAGTTTCTGCCAACTATACAGCACCACAATACTACTAACAGCACTGTTCTGAGTGATTTTAAAATTAATTTTCTTTTCAAATACTTACAAACATTTTTTTCATTTAGTATGAATTTACTTGTAAAACTTTCAAAATCATGTGGAGAATGTATTGTTATTTCATGATCACCAGGTGGAAGAGCTGGAATTTTAACATTTGTTTTCTTCAACTGATAACAAGAATGAGACCTGTAATATAAATCAAATTTTAATCGACTGATAAAATAGTGTCATATTCATAAAAACTTGATTAATACAAAATACACTGGAAAATATGTCTTTTTTTGTTTGTTTTACAAAAACATGATAAGTAGTACTGCATTTTAAGACTGAATGGTAATTTTATCAGTGTGGTGGTGAGAAAAATAACCAGATGGTATGAAATGTAGGGAAAGCACAGATGACTCCAGAAATGTGAAATTTTGGCATGCCTTCCCAAATCCACCTCAACTTTCCCTTTGTAGCCCCTCTCTCTACCCCCTTAACTCAGAGACCAGGAAAAGCATCATACAGCTTCTCATGCCAAGAGGGTACCTAACGGATGCTATAGAAAGAAATGAAACTGGCAACTTGCCGCTCTTCTGCCTTGGCTCGTGGATTACTTACTCTGAACAAAACCTCCTCTTCAGTTTGGCTTTAAAATGCTTCCAGTTCCTCATCCAGTATCTCTTGGACAAAATGATATTTTCCTCTCTGGTTCCACATTTGTATCTCTCTAGAGAAGTGGTCCCCAAACATTTTGACATCAGGGACTGGTTTTGTGGAAGACAATTTTTCCATGAACTGGGGTGGGAGGGGGTGGTTTTGGGATGATTCAAGTGTATTACATTTATTGTGCAGATCAGGGGTGGTATTAGATTCTCATAAGGAGCACGCAACCTAGATTCCTCACATGTCCAGTTCACAATGTGGTTGGTGCTCCTACGAGAATCTAATGCTGTTGCTGATTTAACAGAAGGCAGAGCTCCCTTTGCTGCTTAGGGTAGGGAGGGAGGTGAGGGGGCAGAGGAATGATGAGGCCTGCTCTAGAGCACATTTATATTCGTTTTATTGTTATTCATGTACATTCTGAACTTCCTATGATATTTTAATTGAAGCAAAGGGACTTTCCATGCCTCTTGTATTCCTGCCCCCACCTAACACCCAACCCCGGCTTTAGGACTGGGAGCTTAAGACTTTGGACTTGAACGAGTCTGGCTCATCTCCTGACTCTTATGTGGTAGGCTTCTTTAGGCACCAGCAACTCAAGACTAACTGAATTTTCCAAATCATGCCATTGCATACGCTCAAGATTCTGGACCCAATATTCTTTCGTGGTGGAATGTCCGTCTGTTCTCTTTCTGCTGAGAAAGTGGAGTATGCCTCTTCTGAGAGCCTCTCTGGAATTCCACACTCCTTGGTCTCCACTCCTTCAGCCCTTGACACACTTTTGTCAGCACATAACCCATAGCCTTGCTACTATTTGTTTACTGCAAACTCCTAGGGAGCCAGAACTAACTTCCTCTTGGTGTGGCCTGTGGTGGGCATTTGTGATACTGACCAAGCTTTTCAGGCTCCCCCTTCTGGACTTTCAGTAGAACTGTCCTCCCTTGCCCCTACAAAGCAAGTGACAGTCACAGTCACATCTCCTAGGTTACGAAGAAATCTCTGCAAACCAGTGCAAGCTGGATCCCCTCTCCTCCCCCACCACCCCACCTTGTAATAACTGGGGCCTTAGAGAAGAAACACCAGACACAGAGCACAAGCAGGAAACAACCCTTTAGTTCCACAAGAGAAATAAGGAAATAAGAATTGAGGGTTGTTTCTGCAACACAACATAGCTCATCCTGATAAATTACTCCAATGCTTAGACTAATGCTCAACAAAAAAAACACAAAGTGGGGAAAAACTGGATTGTATTTAAATATGTATTTATGTCAATTTACATTAGGACCACTCATCAGCAGACTGGGAGCAGCATGATGCTTGACTTCCTCTGGTACTGCCAGGCCACTCAGTGCCTCACTGGGATTAGGGAAAAGCAATGGAAATTATTCAGATATGCAGGTAGCCCAAAGATCTCCACTCTGGGCTTAGGAGTGTCTAGCCCACTCCAAGATTACTTGAAAGGGTCAGGTAACAGAGCCTGGCACCTGCCTCCCAATGTTCACTTCCTTGTTTCCTAAATAAAATGAACCCAATGTTACACATTGCCATCCAGCTAGGAGAATACATTTCCCAGCCTCTTGTGCAGCTAGGTTTAGCCATGACTAAGTTCTGGTCAATGAGATGTTAGCAGAGGTGCTGTGTGGGACTTTGTGGAAATCTCCTTAAAGAAAATCACCCTGGGGGTGGGGGGATGGAAAAGAAAAAAAAAGAAAATCATCCTTTTTTTTTCTTGTTTCTTGGAACACACACATGATGCTGCTTCTCAAGCATCACCTTGAACCATGAGCGCACATGCTAAAGATGGCGCAGTAGCATGACCAAGAGGGACTGGGGTCTGACAGCATAAACAACCATGCCAGCCCTGCACTGCCTACCTGCAGACCTTTTACATGAGATTAAATGCCTGTCTGTTGAGCCACCATCAATGACATTTTCTGTTAGGTACAGCCAAACTTTAACCTAACTGATACTGGCAGATGGTGGTTTGGGGTAGATCAGTAAAATGTCCCCACAACAGATCAGAACATTGGAGGTATGCTCCACACTTGTCATTCATATCACCAAAGAATCAATGTTATGGCTAGTAAAAGGACTGGCTTCCAACTTGACTGAGGTAAATTTTCATTTAAAAGTTTCCAGAATAAAACAGTGGCAATTTCTAAAAGATCTAAAAATTGACCTTCCATACGACCCCACAATCTCTCTACTGGAAATATACCCAGAAGAACTCAAATTATTCTATGAAAAAGATACCTGTACACATATGTTTATCACATCATTGTTCATAATACCAAAAACATGGAACTAACCATGCTGCCCATCAAAAGAGGACCGGATAAAAAAAAAATGTGGTATATATATATGATGGAATATTACAAAGCCATAAAGAAGGACAAACTACGAACTTTGCAGCAACTTGGATGGACTTAGAGTATAAGCTATAATACTGAATGATGTATCACAGAAACAAAGAACTGAGTATCACATGTTCTCACTCATAAGCGCATCTTGAACAACTATTGTAATACTATAAGAAAAGGATTGACAGTAAGGGGAAAATGCCAGGGGTAGGGGGAGGTGGGATTGGCAGCAGTGGGAATCTGCTGGGGGAGGAGGGCACACCTCATCAACAAGAATATCTGCATAATGAACATTTGTATACCTAACCTTGAATTGTACCCCACATCTTTAATATTTAAAAAATTGAGAGGAAAATATAAATAAATAAAAGTTTCCAGAACAAAATCTTTAGATTTGAAAATTGAAGATAACCTCTAGATTGTAATCATAAATTAAGCAAAGTATTTCCATTACCTGTTTTCAATGCAAAATTCATAAGCAGCATCTCGGCCTGCTTCAGAGGATGCTTTCCAAGAACAGTCCCACACTTGTAAATCGCTAGTTATGCACTTTAGATCATGAAGAGATCCTGGAGAGGAGGAAACAACACACACACACACACACAGCACAGAACATGCTTACTAACTCAACTGCAATGTGACAGATCAACCAGTCAAGCCATTTTCAGTCATAAGCACAAGCATGTGTGTCTGCAGAGGGCCTACGTTCTCTGTGAAGAGATGACCCTGCCGTCTTGGGAGAGAACTGAGTTTATATATTTTTTTGTAGCTTTGGTTAAAAAAAGCTAAAGGGTAAACTAATGAAAGTGGGCCAGCTGCTAGACCACTTTGGGGTTAAGCTTCTACCAAAAATTCCACCTCCAGGCAACTAAGACAAGTCAAGGGAGACTGGATATGTAGATTCAATGATGGGACCAAGAGAGGGCCTAGAGGAAATCTAGCACCTGTTGAATTGTTAATAGCTCCATTTGCCAAAAAAAAAAAAAAAAAAAGGGAGGAAAATCTAAAAAACGATGTGTCTACCAGGTCTCTAAACACAGAATCCTGCCCATTACCACATCAGTGCTCACTGCCTGACTGCCACCCTCCCTAAAAAAGCCAACAACCAAGCTTCAGATTGTTATGAAGCATATTACATTTAAACAGCAATGAACTCATGAGTTCATCTGAAAAATATATTTTTGGTGTGGGCCTAAACAACTGAAAAATATCAAATAATTCAGAAGACTCCAATCCTAATAGTACTTATTAATGTCTATAAAATTACATAACAATACGGAATGCATGAGTACTATGCAGCAAAAAAAAGTCACCCTGAAAAGAAAATGAGAAGAAAGAAGGAGGGTATGAGAGAGGAAAAGAGGGAAGAAAAGAGGAAGGAAGGAATGAGGGAAAGAATGGAAAAAGACAACTAAAGAATAAAAAGGTATTCATAGACTTTGTAAGTCTATGAAAAAGTATTTTTCTTTTATTGTTATAAGTGATTGGCATGATATTCACTGTAGCAATAAATTACAAGACTATTAAGACAGAAAATAGAAACCTTATACTAGAAGTGCTCCCATTAGAAAGCAGCAATAATCATAACAACAAAGTTATTTAATGAATGACCCTGGGGAAAAGAGAGCTGTTTAAATATGAAAATGATATAAAACTAACCCAAAGGGCAGTAGGATGTTAATGTTCATTATAGAAATAAGCTAGGAATATCTACACATTCTTAAGATACTTAAATAAGGTGGTAACAAGTAACATATTAAAAAGATAATTAGATTTCATTGATATGACATTCTAAAAGGTAAAATTATAAAGTCAGAAAATGGTTTCTATGGGCACCGAGCAGTGCTGGTTGGGGGTGGGGCCAGGGCAAGTTGGAGAGTTTTCAGAGCTCAGGGACTGTTCCCTATCTTGAGAGTGCTGATGGTTACATAACAATATTCATTGTCAAAACTCACAGAAGTATCCTAGGAGGGCAAATTTTGATGCATGTAAATTATACTTTACTTTTTTTTAATGGTAAAAGAATATTTTGATCTCTTTTCAAAGGTCTTTTTAAAAGAAATTAAAAGTACACAGAAAAAAGATTATAAAAAAATAAGTTTCAACTACCCAAAATCTGAGAGGCTCAATAAAAAAACAAAACTGCCTCATAATCAACATGGAAATAAAATTGCAATCTGTTCATCCTCTGAAAGTCAGATGCACTTACCCTTCTTCTGGCTATTGACTTGATTCATTAGATAGAGAAGAATGAATGTTGAGAAGAGCCACTGGAAATTTGAAGTAGTCCTCATTCTTTTATTGTCCACCATCCGGGATGGTCTTTTCAAACATGAGTAAATATCCATCTTTCGTGCAATGAGTCCTAGGTTAGGAGAGGAATTCAAAAAATGTTCAAACTCCTCTGGAGACACGCCTTATACTGTGCACACAAACAATGAAATGGATACTGACAAATTCTGAAACATACTGTATATTTAATGACTTCGGAGATTCTCAAATACAAGCTGCTCCGGCTTGAGGAGGTATCAACAACTGGACACAGCTGTCGCTGTGGGTCAATTTTCAAATAATAAGCTTCAAGTTGAAAATTATAACTAAGCAAATGTTTGTTAATTCTCCATTCCAACACTACTAAAATACAGAATAGCAGTGGGTAAAACTGAAGGGTTTTTTCCTCTGTTTGGTTCTGTTTTGTTTGAGTTGGAGTCTCACTCTGCTGCCCAGGTTAAAGTGCAGTGGCATGCTCACGGCCACCGTAATGGTGATCCTTCCGTCTCAGCCTTCCAAGTAGCTGAAACTACAGGCACATGACACCACACCTGGCTAATTTTTTGATTTATTATAGAAACGCGGTCTCACCAAGTTGCCCAGGCTGCTCTCCAACTCCTGGGCTCAGGCACTTCTCTTGCCTCCACCTCCCAAAGTGCTGGGATTACAGGCTGTGAGCCACTCCACCTTTGCCAATTGTAAAAGATATGTGGATTGATATTTTTATTTTAATCAATATATTAACTTTTATAGTCACTTATACATGACAAGCAATATTAATTTTGTTTTCCATTTATGTTGCGATGCAAAGTTTCTATTTCATTTAAATTTAAGTAATTTAAAGAGAAAAAACTAGGGTAAATACTAGTATGAAGGCACTGCAGATGTGACAAAAATATTGACAATGACACATAAATGGCTGCACTTTAACAAACACTCCAACAACTACAATGGAAAGGGGCCGAAGGGTAGATAAGATATTAACACTTTTCTGCTGAAAAGGGAAAACATTTAGAAAAGCAGTGACAGATTTGTCAGCAGACGCTTACAGATAGCCTAGGAAGACGCCTTACAGAATGCCAGGGCCTGGCAAGTCCTGTAGGCACAGCATCACCAAGAGAGTCCCTCCTCCAAGGAGCTTAGACTCTAGTTAGGAGAGACAAATAAACAAGTAAGGGATTTAAGATATGTGCATTAAGAATTACAATACGGCAATGTGCTTGAGAGTGTGTGTGGAGTGAAGGTCTGATTTTGAGCTGAGACCATCATGACGAGAAAGACACTGCCATGATAAGACGGGAAAGAGCTCAAACAGCAGCAAGGCTCTAAGTCAAGGACATGCTCACCAGGTTCAAGGACAGGAAGAAGGATAAGTGAAAAGAGAAGTCAAAGAAGCAGGCTGGTCAGGACACAAAGGGTCTTATGGCCATTGTAAGTTTAATGTGGCTAAGATGATAGGTCATTCGGAGGCTTTCATCAAAGGAGATCCATGATTTGCACCTTAGAAAGACTTCTCTAGCTGCTGATGGTGATCAGCCTCTGGGGTGGGAGGTGGGGGGACAGTGGAGGCCAAGAAACCACAATTCAAACGAGATGACCAGTGTGAAGGCAAGGGTCCTAAGAGTGGAAGTGGCAAGAAGCAGTCAGACTCAAGATCTGTTCTAAAGATAAACAGTCTTATTGACACATTATGGGAGGTAAAATCACAGAATGGGTTCGCATTCCAGCTATGCCACTTATTGTATGACCCCAGACATGCTCTATAACACTTATTGTGTGACCTTAGCATATCTGTGCTCAGCTTCCTCATCTGTAAAGTAGGGATAATATCTGTACTTTCCTCATAAATTTGTTGTCAGGCTCAAGTGAGTAAATATGTGTAAAGTACTTGGAATAGTACCAAGTAGGTGCTAAGAGCTGTATGTGCATTTTGTATATTGTGTGAGGTATAGGAAAAAGAGAGAAAGCAATAGAGCAGGGGTCCCCCAGCCCCCGGACCAGTACTGGTCCAGATCCGGGCCACACAGCAGGAGGTGAGAAGTAGGTGAGCAGAGCTTCGCCTTCTGTCAGATCAACAGCAGAACGAATTCTCAGCAGCACACAAACCCTATTGTGAACTGCACATGCAAGGGATCCAAGTTGTGCACTCCTTAAGATAATCTAATGCCTGATGATCCCCTCCTCTCCCATCCAAGGAAAAATTATCTTCCACGAAACCAGTCCCTGATGCCAAAAAGGTTGGGGACCAATACATTAGAGGATGATTACTAGATCTGGGGCTAAACAACAGTGGATAGATGGTGGTATCAGTTTCAATTCTCTCTGGGCACATAAAGAAGGGGGTAGTGAGATATGGGGTTGAAACTAAAGGATTTCAAGATCTGTTTACAGAAGTCAACCTTGATATGCTCCCAACCCCCCACTCCAAGCAGAGGCATTTTTCCCTAAAGAAATAATTGAGAAAGAACCAGAGTAGCTAACACAGACAAAAGTACCAAGAGGAAAGCTTTCCATGTCAAGATTTCCCAGAGCAATGAAATTCCCATCCACTCTTCACCCATTCTTTCCAGAGTGGAGCCTGCCAGCTGACAAGTCTTTCCAATGTACTGAAAACTCCTTGTAAGCTCTAATATTGTACAACCAACCAAGAATATATATTGGCACAAACAACTGAGAATCACAAAACATATAAGTAAAGCCTAAAATATTAAAGAGAATTTCAGGATAAAAAGAATAACCAAAAGGAAAATAAAATTACTCCAGAAGCAACCAGTGATAATGTAGCATACAAGAAAACTTAAAAAGAAAGAAAGAAAAAAGACTGTAAAAACCTCTAAATAATATCCTTAGAAAAAACATGCCACTGTCAGGCATTAAAACAAGAAGAGGATGCAATGCAAAAGGAATAATTAGAAACAAAAATAGCTCATACATTAGCTGATGTGAAAAATATGCAAGATAAAACATTAAACAGGCCGGGCTCAGTGGCTCAGCCTATAATACCAGCACTTTAGGCCGAGGTGACAGGATTGCCTAAGCCTGCAGATTTGAGACCAGACCGGACAACTTGGTGAGACCTCGTTCCTATAATAAATAAAAAATTAGCCAGGCATGATAGCACGCACCTGTAGTTCTGGCTACTTGAAGGCTGAGGTGGAAGGATCGCTGGAGCCCAGTAGTAGATCAATGCTAGTGTGGCTGTGAGCGTGTCACTGCACTCCAGCCTGGGCGATGGAGTGAGACGCCAACTCAAAAAAATAAATAAATAATCTTTCATTTAAAAAAGACAAAAATAGAAAATATGGGAAAAGGGATGGGAAACAAACTTGATAGAGGAAAGGAGATCCAACATCTAAATTACTGGAGCCCAGTGAGAGATAGGAAACAAACTTGATAGAGGAAAGGAGATCCAACATCTAAATAACTGGAGCCCAGTGAGAGAATTCTCAGTGGAAGCAGACGGCAAAGTCTCTTCTTGGCTATCATTAAGTACAGTAAAAAAACCAGGAAATGAATCCCCAATAGCCTAAATAATGTAACCAAAACATGCACAGGGCATGAACACACATTTCACAAATGTTCTGTTATTTTCTGGATAAATGAATAACTTCCTAGTCTATTCCTATGTCATCAAGTTTAATTAGAATGAAAATGTATTCGTGGAATGTCTAAAAAGGCAGTTGCTGAAGTTATAGAATTACACAGCTGTACAGGCGTAATTGAATAAAGGAGGCCAACATGACCTTAAAACTCAAATTAATCATAAACCATATTCACTGACTGGCTAAACATTATCTTGAAATGACAGTCCCTCACTACAAGTGTCAGTTATTCTAGACAAGAGACACAGGCCCTGCTGCCACGCCAGGAAGAAGTAGCAGGAGGGGGTGGAGGGCAATAGCTGAGGAAGAGCTCTGGATCAGGTGCTGCCAGATTTAGACTTGAATCTTGGCTCCATTACTAATTAGCGATATGACTGAGAGTAAATCACTTAATCCCTCCCGGCTTCGGCCTCCACCATCGTAGCACAGAGGCACACTCTATTCAGGATGCATGCAAGAGGCTTCCCAAAGTGAAGCTGTAATATTCCATTCCTTCTGGCAGGGAACAGTAGCAGGCCAGCACACAGTGTTAGCTGCAGATCAAGGACTCTGCTGAAGAGGTCAGTGAGCAGCAAAAATGGGGTGCCCAAGGATGGAAGAATTGGTGGCAAAATTGGTCACCAAAGCCTGCTTAAATTAAAATAAGCAGGAAAATAAAGAGGACTTTCTTTTGTCATAACATTTACCTAGAAAATTCTGAGCAAGTCATTTGGGCAGTATAATATAATGCTTATAACATATCCAAATTCCCTACCAAGCAAAACCTTTGAATGGATTATTTGTGGGCCTGAACAACCCATGAGCAGAGCCTTCAATGTCCTTTTAGAAAAGAAAAAAAAAAAAAGATGCTTATGAAACCTTTCTTTGCTCACTCCTGATACAAACATTGTCAGAATTTACTTTTTTCCCTCATTAATCCCTCATTCCTTAGAGAAGAAAAAATTTTTCTAGAATTTCAGGAACTAATTTTCAAAGTAAGGACAACTATCTCTTGTGCAGCAACAGGGTACAAATGCAAATACCCAGAGAAAAAAACAGGGAACCAATGCATTCAGTGCAGGTACAAACTGCAGCCCACCTGCCCAGCCTGAGGGTGGCAGTCACCAGCCTCGTTTTGCCAGATATTCTGATTTTTGAGGACAACGTAAAAATCTGGGATTTCACATGAAATACTCAAGTTTGTTCGAGTAAGCAACTAAGCATATTTTTAAGCATTTTTAAAGGCTAAACAAAATATGTTTTTGGACTACAATCTGTCCAAGGGTCATTAGTTTGTTTCCTATACAAAATAATTGTTTTAAAGAATTCAAAAAGTCAATAAACTCTTCTGCTTAAGAAAAGTGTTCATACAGACTCAATTTACAAAACTGGTGCATGGAAAGAAAAAAAGCTGTTTGTGTTTCCTTACACGAAGGCTGACCTCAATCTTAGGCCATCATGAAGCACAGGCAGAACTTGAGCCTGGGGCCCCACACAGCAAAGCTCAAGTCCT